CCGTCCCGTCACCTCTGCACAAAGAGCACCCAGGGCGAGCACACACGCACAGACAAGCCCTTTGGTTCTGTGTACACACACACACACACACACAGCACACGGGCAGGCTCAGGCAGTGCCTGCACAGACGTCTACACAGTCACTCGGTCACTCTGAGGTGACCCCGGGCTGCGGGGAATTTAGGCAGTAACCCCACTCACAGCACAGCTGCTCACAGAATGGCTCAGGCACCAAAGCAGTTGCCTGCAATACATCCATCTCTGTTTCTGGACTGTTTGTTCATGAGACCCTCGTGTGACCACAGTCAGGCCCAGTGACACTCGCCGGGCAGGTGCTTTAGCCGTGCGGGCAAGGAGGCCCCAGCCCCCAGCCGTCCAGCCTCTCTGGCTGCTCAGATCAGGCTGGCTTTCCCTGCAGGGCTTTTGGAGTTTGTTGTTGAGTGTTGATCGTGTGCCTGGCACAAGCCTGCACGGGTAACGTGTGCAGAACTGTTTGAGAAAAGCACCCGGTAAGTGTGGGTTATTACGTACATTGTCATTTGCATATGTGATCTTGTTTCTGATGACAACCCGATGAGGCAGACTGCTATTATTGTTCCATTTTACAGATAAGGAGAGTGAGGCTTGCAGATGTTAAGTGGCTTGTCCCAGTGGTACACAGCTTAGTTAGTGGAAGAACCTGGACTTGAACCCAGGGTCTCTGACTCCAGAAAGCCAGTCCGAGTACCCAGCCCTGGTGACGTTCACAAAGGCAGGGGAGACTATGACGGCTGAGGTCATCAGCACACCGTGGCTTTGAGTCTGAGGCTCAGGCCACAGGGATGAGGGCAAGTGTGGAAGGCAATCTCCAGAATGGGGGGGTGGGGACGCCTGTCTCAAGAACTGTCGCCCACTTCCCTGAGGCGCGTCCCCTTTCTGTCCCTGTGTCATTTGGCTCAGTGTCCTCCCAGCACGAGTGGAACTGGTGCAGGGGTTGTCCAGCTGCTGACCTGGGGCCTGCAGATGCCCAGGCCTCCCCTCCTGCTTTGACTGGGCAACCCTGGGCAACTTGCCACCCCCTCCCAGGCCTAAGTGGGACTTGGGCTTAGGCTTATCTCCACCTCTGGACATTTTCATATCTGGACAGATTCCAAGGGCGGCCTCTCGCTGGCGTTCCAGGCCACACCCGCCAGGTGGAAGCGCCCCTCCAGTGGGCACAGATAACCATGGGTGGCAGATCGGGCTCTCGGGAGAAAAGATAAGGGAACGCCTTGATCTTGCTGATTCCTCCCAGGTGCCTGCGAGTTTCACTTTGCTCATTCGCTCTGGTCCTAGAGGAAGCGTCCACCCAGCCAGCTGAGGGCCTCGCTGCCCTGCAGAAGGCCGGCTTGGGGCTTCTCCAGGTGTGGGCCTTGTGCTGCCCACTCCAGTCTCCCTGGCCAGGCCCTGGGTGATGTAGCTGCAGCCCAGTCACATTTGGTGGACCAAGAGTTTGGGCAGGGAGACTCCTGAGCCCAAACTCCACCGGCCCTGTTTTGTGAAGGGTTTTTTCAAGATAGGGTCTCGTGAATTATTTGCCCAGGCTGGTTTTGACCCGTGATCCTCCTGATCTCTGCCTCCTGAGTAGCTAGGATTACAGGCAGGAACCATCGGGCCCCGCCCCTCCCAAGCTCCTCTTTTGCTGTGAGGCTCTGCATGAGTTTAAACTCGCTGAACTTTCATTTCCTTGTTTGTAAGCTGGGGTAACAGAGGAGTCTGGCACCTTCCCAGCAGGGGACCCGGGGTGGCCCAGCAGAAGGGCTGCCTTAGGGGTCTGGATCCTCCCAGGAGCAGAGCACAGGAAGGTTGGCTGCTTACCCAGCATGCACCTGTGCTCCCGACGTGAAGCGCAGGGAAGGTGTGCTGGGCAGTTTCTGCTGTGGGGACGGGTGGGGTTCCATGCTGGGACTCTACCTGGGCCTGCTGTGGCCGTGACTCCAAGGCAGAAGGCCTAGAGTCTGGTGTGATCAAAAAGCCTTCCTCAGACCACCGCCACCCTCCAGTTGGCCTCTGACCTCAGTGGACTTTCTTTCTCCACGAAGTGCCTGTGCAGCCCCATGTCTAACTCTGGCTCCAGACTGACAAGACTCCCAGCTGCAGAGCCACGCACATCCTTCGTAAATTCTGCAGTGGTCCCCTGTGCCACCTTCCCTTACAGGAGACATCTGATGTGCAGCCTGGGACCGCTGTCATCCTAGTGACTGTCCATCCATCCCATGTCTCAGTGGGCTTCAGTGTCAGCTGCCACATGGTTTAGAAAAAAAAAGTTTTCCTACTTAAACAGTTGAGAACAAAGGAACTGCATTTCCCTTTTCTCTTTGTCCGCCAGGAGGCTCAGTATTAAATGTGCAGCCTCTCTCTAGTGGTTATGTAGACTTTAGGACCAGCTTATGTCAGTCCTTCCTTTCTTTCTAGATTAAATGTCTTCATGTATTTTTTCCTTGCTCTCTGACTCTGATTTTTATGTTTCTAGTTCACTCCTTTGTGTGTCCTCACCCAGGTGGAGGGTACGTACAAACGCCCGCGAGGCCATCCATCCATACAGTGCTTTGTTGGCATGTGGTTCCCTTTTGTGCCTCAGCTTCGTAAGATCTTGTTTTTTGTGGTCATGACCCACTGGTCAGTGAGGTCACGCCTGGGCTGCTTGGAGGGCTGCGTTTTGTTTTTCTGTTCTCATGAGCTGCTTAGAATTTTTAAAATAATTTACTTCCAAACCCATTAGTTACTCAACACATAAAAGGTACCTTGGCGGATCCGGGGGTGTTTGCTTCTTTTTTCTTCTTCCTGCTAACCTACATCTCCCATTTCAGCGTAAACTCCTTTTTGTCAAATCCAGACATAGTGAAAGGAGAAAAAAATCACCTGTAATCCCACCAGGGACTCCGCTTTTCAGTGTTTGGTGGCACAGCCTTTTCCTATGCTTATATTTTTTCCCACAACGTAAAAGAACCTGGCGTACATCCCATTTAATAACCTCAGTGATAGATAATTAGTGTATTTCCTTATAGTTACATATTCTGCAACGTGAATGTTAAAATTCGTATCCATAGTACGCGAATGCACACAATGTTTGTAAAAGGGATAGAAGGGCACCATGGCTCACGCCTGTAATCCTAGCTACTCAGGAGGATCGTGGTTCAAAGCCAGACCTGGGCAAATAGTTCATGAGACCATATCTTGGAAAAAAAAACGCAAAACAAGGGCTGGTGGAGTGGCTCAAGGTGGAGGCCCTGAGTTCAAGCCCCAGTACTGCAAAAAAAAAAAAAAAGCCAACATGAATCATGGTAGGACTTGGATTGTGGTGACATCCAGCTTAATCATGGATTAAGCTGGGTTTCTTTGGTTCCCCCCCCATCACCAAAGAAACCCAGGATTGGTGGGCGGACCCTGGAGGAACTGGGTTTCGGGGCAAGGAAGTGAAGTGGCAGGGTCACCAAAGTGGTCAACATTCCTAAAACCTGCTGACCCGGCCTCACAAAGTGACCCAGGACAAGAAGGGCAAGAATTCTCTGTGGCTATGGTGGGCAGAGCAAACCGATTTCTAGTTAAAAAAAGAAGCTAAAACCGGAGAGGAAGTTGTGCTGGGGCTGGAGTGTGCTGAGCTCAGATGCTGCTGTCAGAGAACGCTGGGGACGAGACGCAGCGCTGTGACTGGGGGTGGGGGAGAAGGGAGGGGGCAAGTGACCCGGTTCTGAGTCCATCTTTTGTTTTGTTATGAACACAATAAAACCAGGAGACCAATTTCAAAATTAAAAAAACCCCACAAAATAAGGGCTGATGGAGTGGCTCAAATGGAAGAGACCTGCCTAGCAAGAGTGAGGCCCTGAGTTCAAACCCCAGTGCTGCCCCCTCCCCCCCAAAATTCAGGGTTCGCTCTCAGGGCCTTGCACTTGCTAGGCAGGCACTCCCCAGACCTTTTTCCTTTAGTTGTTTTTTATTTTGGGGGGGACTGGGCTTCATGCTTGCTAGGCAGGTGCTCTACCCTCCCTCCTTTAGTTTTTGGATGGGGACTCGTGCTTTTGCATGAACTGGCCTAGGACCAGGGTCCTCCCACTGATACCCCCCATGTAGCTGGGATTACAGGAGCTCCCCGTTTGTTCTGCTGGGGACCAGATGCAGGCAAGGGGGTTGACCTGGCTAGGCAAGTCTGCTACCGCCAACCCTCACCCCCAACCCTACACGTCTGCATCTTATGCCACTGGCCATTGATACCATCTTGTGACCTGTCCATCTCAGGGACAGATACCCAAGTCTCCCTCTTCCCTAACGCCACCCCACGCCAGCCCTCTGTCTGCTGGTGTCTGTCTGTTGTCGATGCAAGTTTCTGAGATTGAGTATGGTAACATCAATGTTCTGTTTGTCTCAAGCTGGCAGAGTTAGTGCCTGCCTAGCAAGAGTGAGGCCCTGAGTTCAAACCCCAGTGCCACCAAAACAGATAAAGAAGAGAATACCGTCTCCCTTGAATGCTGGGGCAGGGAGTGCGGCACTCAAAGTTGAGCAGAGCTGTGTTCACATGAACGGTCCAGGAGGTCCCTCCACGGTGGGGGATGGGCTGCGCTTGCCTTTCCTTCTCTGTGGCTCTAATGCCGCTCCAAGGGGAATATCAGATGTGTTTCCCTTTCTTATGTCCTGTGACTGTCTATTTCACTTTCCTTCATACTTTGACCATGACTTTCTAATGCCGCATCATTTTTGCCAGCTGCGTAATATTTCATCGGCTGGAATGTGGTCATTTATTTTTACCCAGTTCCCTGTGGTTGGGCCCAGGTTGTTTTCAAGTTTGCATTCATGTGACTGGGGCTGTAATTAGCATCCTTTTTACATATATCTCTGTGCTTTTTTTTTACGTTTGTGAGTCCAGAAATGCTGCTCTCCCACCCTCCCACCCCCATTGCCTCGCCGAGCTGCCTTTGATGGAGTCAGTCCATTCTAGAGGCTGGTGGGAGAGGCGGCCCTGGGTCATGTCCATCTTCCTCTCCCCAGGCTCCGAAGAGCGGCCCATCCTCAAATTTGAGGCTGAAAACGTCTCCAACTACACAGCCCTTCTGCTGAGCGCGGATGGCGAGACGCTGTACGTGGGGGCCCGAGAGGCCCTGTTCGCCCTCAGCAGCAGCCTGAGCTTCCTGCCCGGCGGGGAGTACCAGGAGGTGAGCCCCGGGCAGGGCTGGCTGGATCGGGCAGGGGGAGGGTGGACCTGCAGGTGGGAGAGGGCTTGAGGGGCTCTGCTGGGGGGTCCCCTGGTCCCCTGCACACCCGCCTCCCTCTCCTTCCCAGCTGCTGTGGAGTGCGGGCGCAGACAGGAAGCAGCAGTGCATCTTCAAGGGCAAGGACCGCAAGGTGAGCTGACTGGGGCTGATGGAGGCTAGAGGCTGGGGACAGGGGCTGAGGTGGGAGCAGGGACAGCCCGGTGTGGTAGAAGGGGCATAGATGTCCCAGGCTGCACCTGAGCTGAACCCAGCCCTATCCTTCCTATCTCTGTAACCTTGGACAAGTAGATTGACTTCCCGAGCCTTAGTGTGCCCACCTGTAAAGTAGGGTAATGGTGCTTGTCTCCTGGGCCTCCACTGAGGAGGCGGTGTGCTAGTAGGTGTGAGGCACCTGGCGAATGGGAAGTACCAAGCAAAATCAGCCACCAGCATGTCCCTCCACACATGTCCCAGTGTAACAAGTCTGACGGTCTGGTCTGGTCCCACCCAGGCTCTCCTGGAAGAACTCCCACCACCACCATTCCCAGAGGCCTCCTGGGCCGAGTGAAGGCAAAAGAGCCACCAGCCCTGGGGTCAAGGTGCAGGTTCAAGTCCCGCTGTTCCTGACTCAGCCTTTTTTAACCACTTTCTCAAGTTGTTTTTGTTTGTAACGCTGGGGATGAAACCCGGGGCTGGCGCCTGCACAGCAATGGCCTACTGTGAGCTACACCCCCAGCCCTGTTAAGCACCGGTGTGTGCCCAGGAACTGTAAGCACTGGAGACAGAATTGTGAAAAAGAAAAGAAAAAAAAAAAACAGTGAAAAATGGGTCAGTTTAAAAGGTGGTCAGGTTCGACTTAATCTCGAAAGAGACGCTGGGTTGAGAAGGAAGTGGAGGGTAGGGTCTAGAGGAATAGGGCTTTGGACTTCACTCTTGAGTGAAGTATTTGGGGACCCAGTAGAGGTAACATGGTTTCCCCTGTGTTTGTTTATTTATTTTTGGTCGTACTGTGGTTTGAACTCAGGGCCTCACACTTGCTAGGGAAGCTTGAACCACTCTGCCAGCACTGTTTGGTGTTGGGTATTTTTGAGATAGGGTCTCGCAAATTATTTGCCCTGGGCTGGCTTAGAACCACGATCCTCCTGATTTCTGCCTCCTGAGTAGCTCGGATTACAGGGGTGTGAGCCACCAGTGTCTGGTTCCTCTGAGCTGGGCACAGTGGCCACCCCTGTGATCCTAGCACTCAGGAGGCTGAGGCAGGACAATCATGAGTTCCAGGCCTAGGCTACATAGCAAGACTCTCAAAAAAAAAAAAAAGTAAATAAATAAACAAATAAACAATGTTCACCATGGTAGATTAGCCTCTGTGGAGGTGGAAAAAAGGAGGGAGGCCAGCAAGGTGTGAGAGAGGAGAGGTGGCCCTTTGCAGGGTGGTGTCCACAAGAGAGTGGGAAGTGGTCAGATTCGGGTTGTCTTTTGAACCTGGAGCCACCACACTTCCTGCTGGGAAATTGGGTTCAAGAGGCTCCAAGGCCGGGGCCTCAGCCCTTGAACGATGGAATTGCTGTTCCTGAGAACAGGAAGATCAGGAGCAGCAAATTTTGGAGAAGATCAGTAGATCCCACGTGCAGGTGACAGGTGCACCTGGGACCCTGGGTTTCGGCTTTCATGGGGCTTCTGGAGGAACTCAGCCTGGCCAGATAGCCTAAGTCCTTTTCCCCTGCCAGACAGGAGATGCTTGCCTGTGGCAAAGCTGGCAGAGAGTCCCAGGGTCCCCTACAGGTGTCACTCTGGCTCAGGCTTAGGAAGCTCCTGAATTCTCATTTGTTCCATGTTTGACTGTCACCATCCAGTCCCTGGGGCAGAGGCCATCACCCCGCCAGCCTGGCCTGGGGTCTGGGGAGGGGAGCTCAGTGGTGTCCCCTGGTGGATTGTCTGGATTTGACATCCTCTCCCTCCTTTCCCAGCGTGACTGTCAAAACTACATCAAGATCCTCCTGCCACTCAACAGCAGCCACCTGTTCTCCTGTGGCACAGCGGCCTTCAGCCCCCTGTGTACCTACATTGTGAGTGCTCTTCCTCCGTCCCGGGGGTGTGCCTGGGGCACTGTCCCATCTGCCCATGGAGCTGTTCTGTAGCCAGGACCCCCTGGTGAAAGGGAGGCTCCCACGGGAGGCTTCTGGGTAGTGGTGGGCTCTGAGCCCCAACCCCCCAGCCCAACCCAGCCCAGCCCCAGGAGTTGGGGTCCCCCACAGAGGCGGGTAAGGGGGGCACACAATTGCCCTGCTCGGAGATCCTGTCCGACTCTGACTCACTGCTGTCTGGTTTTCTCCAGCTTCTCCCCCTTGCTCTTGCTTGGTCCTCTCGGGTCACTGTGTCCACCTGACCACCTCCTCGGCACTCACACCCTTCCATTCCTGTCTCACAACACAGCAGATTTAGGCTGTGCACCGGAGCTCCGGTGGGCAAGTTGGAGGGACCCGGGTTTGCACCGTGTCACTCTTTTTCTCACTCAATTAACTTTCTAACTCTTAGCTTCTGGTTGAGTACTCGATGTAGCTGCTTGCTGTGAGCGGACAGCACAGAGTCCAGGTGCCAGGTGAAGAGGATGGCTCTTGACACCTTCTCTCCTGTCACCTCACCTGCCTGCATGTGCTGTCCCCTTTCCCCTGAGTGCATTCCTCTTTCCCGGACAAGCCCTTGAGCCACCTGTCGCTCCTCTGCAGAGCATGGCGAACTTCACTCTGGCTCGAGACGAGACGGGCAGTGTCCTTCTGGAGGATGGCAAGGGTCGTTGTCCCTTTGACCCCAACTTCAAGTCCACGGCCCTGGTGGTTGGTGAGTGCTGGGGGCAGCAGTGCACAGGCTAAAGGGCCGGCTCTGGATAGGGTGGATCCCAGGCCCGAGCTGGTGGCTTCCACACTGCTATTCCCAGGGAGCCCAGTGACCCCGGGTGCCCTCGGGTTTCACTTTTCCCAGTTCTTGTTTCTGTCTCTGCGTGCGGCAGGCAGGACGGACGGTGCTGGGGTCACTCGGGGTCCTGAGTGGGGAGAGGGAGGCGTGTGAGGGAGCTGTTCCCATGGGACTCTTTTCTGGGCAGATGGCGAGCTCTACACTGGAACAGTCAGCAGCTTCCTGGGGAATGACCCTGTCATCTCCCGGAGCCAAAGCCTCCGGCCCACCAAGACCGAGAGCTCCCTCAACTGGCTGCAAGGTGAAGCTCTCCTGCCCCCCTTCCCCACGTGGGCGGTCACCGGTCCTCGGGAGAGCCATCTTCCCCAGCAGTGCCTGTCGCCAGGCCCGGTTCCTCGACTGACTCTGTGCACCTGCCGGCCCCACAGACCCGGCCTTTGTGGCTTCAGCCTACATTCCCGAGAGCCTGGGCAGCTTGCAGGGTGACGACGATAAGGTCTACTTCTTCTTCAGTGAGACCGGCCAGGAGTTTGAGTTCTTTGAGAGCACAATCGTATCCCGTGTTGCCCGCATCTGTAAGGTGAGCAGGCTGGACCATCACGATGGCCATCCTGGGACCTGGAGGGCAAGTTCATGTGGTCTCTCTCATATCCAGGGAGCAACAGCTTGGCCAGTGGCCTGTCTCTCCTTTTAAATCAAGAGATCTCTTAACTGGGCCTAGATGTGGTGGTACACCCCTGTAATCCCTGCATTCGGGAGGCTGAGGCAGAAGGATCACAAGAACAGCCCAGGCTACATAGTGCGTCTGAGATGAGCCTGGGCTATTTAATGAGACCTTATCTCAAAAAAAACCCAAACCAGTTAGGAGCCGGTGGCTCACGCCTGTAATCCCAGCTAAAGTTCAAACCCTAGTACCAAAAAAAAAAAAAAAAAAAAAAAACAAGATGAAGGGCTGGCAGAGTGGCTCAAGTGGTAGAGAGCCTGCCTAGCAAGTATGAGGCCCTGAGTTCAAATCCCAGTGCTACTAAAAAAAAAAAAAACTTGTCTTGTCTTACTTGAAAAATGTGAAAATACAGGAAAGTACAGACAAAAACAACAAGGCACAAAAGTGGTGTAGTGTCATGCTTAAAAGCATAGACCAGGAGACCAGGTTCAAACGCTGCTGGTCATGGGGGCCTGGCAAGTCCCTCCCCTGCCACCGAGTTAACCAGCTTCCTAAACTGTAAGTGGAAAGTCGGTTATTATGTGGGTTAAATCCACTCGTATGGACGAGGTGTGCACCCCACAGGAAGGGGCCACTATTGACACTGTAGACCCTTCCTTACTGATCCTTTAAAACTCCATGTGTGTTCATATTACCTTCTCTACAAACAGGAGTTATGCCACATCCGGGGGCTCTGCCAAGCAGTCACTCGTGGTCACCTTTTCCTATTTTAGTTCCTTATCTGTTTATTTCTTGAGATGGTTCTGGCTCTGTTGCCCAGGCTGCCCAGAACTCCCGGGCTCAAGTGATCTTCCAGCTTCAGCCTCCCAAGGGCTGGGACTACAGGCGTGCACCCACATGGCTGGGTCAGCCCTCTGCCCGAGTGGCATCCCAGCCCTTGCTCCGTTCAGACGGGCTTCCCAGTCCATGTATTTTCAATTTTAGGTGAAACCCTGTCCTGGCTTTCTCTTTCTCTCTCTCTCTCTCTCTCTCTCTCTCTTTTTTTTTTTTTTTTTTTTTTGGTGGTACTGGGGCTTGAACTCCAGTCCTATACCTTGAGCCACTCCAACAGCCCTTTTTTGTGAAGTGGTTTTTTGAGGTAGGGTCTCATGAACTATTAACTATTTGCCCGGGCTGGCTTCAAACCGTGATCCTCCTGATCTCTGCCTCCTGAGTGGCTGGGATTACAGGTGTGAGCACCGGTGCCTGGCTCTGGCTTTCTCTTGTTCCTCGTTCTTGGTGTCTGTCTCAGCTACTTCTGTGGAGTCGCAGCAAGGAGACACTGCCTCCAGCCTGCAGCCCCAGCCTGTGTCTAAGCCAGCCTGTCCCTTCCTGTCCTCCAGGGCGATGAGGGCGGAGAGCGGGTGTTGCAGCAGCGCTGGACGTCCTTCCTGAAGGCCCAGCTGCTGTGCTCCCGGCCCGACGATGGCTTCCCGTTCAACGTGCTGCAGGATGTCTTCACGCTGAGTCCCAGCCCCCAGGACTGGGACAAAACCCGTTTCTATGGGGTCTTCACGTCCCAGTGGTAGGGGCCTTAGGACTAGCTGGGGATGGGAGGGTGGAGGGTGACTGGGACCAAGAGCCAGCTGCTGAGCCCCCCAGACCCCCCGGGTTAATTTGGCCATTGCTTTGCAGGCACAGGGGGACCACGGAGGGCTCTGCCGTCTGTGTCTTCACCATGAAAGATGTGCAGAAGGTCTTCGATGGCCTCTACAAGAAAGTGAACCGGGAGACGCAGCAGTGGTACACCGAGACCCACCCAGCGCCCACGCCTCGGCCTGGTGCTGTGAGTATGGGCTCCCTGCGCCCGGGGTCCCACGCCACGCTGGGGCAGGGCTGTCCAGCCTCGGACACAGCACTTGAAACGAGACATACTAAGCCGAGGCCTGCTTGTCCTGCTGAGTTAGACGTGATGTGAATGTGGAACTGCCTTCAGTCCTGTCCTCAGGCTAGGCAAGTGTGTCCCCAGGGCACTGAATGTACACTATTGTAATTGTCCCTTCCCTTGGTCCCTCCCCCAGGAGCCACGAGCTCCTTACATAATGATCAAGTGACTGGGTGACGAGGCCAAAAGGCAACAGTCCTTTCATCTTTCCTTGCTTGCATAATGGGGTCCCTAAAAGCAGACCTCGATGGACTGGAGGTGTGGCTCAAGAGCTAGAGTGCTTGCCTAGCAAGTGCGAGGCCCCAAGTTCAGTCCCCAGTACTTCCAAAAAAAAAAAATAAGCAGACCTTGAGACACAGATAAGAGGCAACGCCAGGGGCTAGCAGGGTGGCTCCAGTGGTAAGAATGCCTGCCTAGCAAGTGAGAGGCCCTGAGTTCAAACCTCAGTGCCATCAAAAGAAAGAAAGAAACAAAAAGACGTCACCCCAGGAAGCAGCACGAGGAAGGGAGACAGGGAGGAAAGCCGAGAAGGAGTGCCTTGGTAACCCCTGGCTGCCGTGGACAATGGGAGCTGAGCATGGGGTGGATGGGGTGGTGTGGAGCCTGTCTCACACTGGTCCAGCTGCACTGATTATCCTCAGCTCCTGTGGCTCGTTGGTTGAGGGACACTCGGTTTGTAAACTCACACACACAGAAGCCCTTGGGCAGAGATCAGGCAGCCCAGGCAGGCATGAGAATTGGCTCTCCTGGCTACACCACGAATGAGCGCAGCCTGGGTTTCCTGGGGACTCTGTGGAAGGATGCTAGCGGGGTCTTGAGACCTCTGTGCAAATGGGGTGAGGAGGCCCAGCTAGGAAACCCACTAGGCCCTTGGTTTCCCCACACCCCTGGGCCTTCAGGCCGACACGATGGCGTTCTGTAGACAGGCAGGGGTCAGATGCTCTGCTGTCCACTGGGGAGGCAGGGCCCCATCCTGCCTGATGCCCTGTAGTGCTGCAGGCTCACGCCACTGCCTTCTCCTCCAGTGCATCACCAACAGTGCCCGGGAGCGAAGGATCAACTCGTCCCTGCAGCTCCCGGACCGAGTGTTGAATTTCCTCAAGGATCACTTCCTGATGGACGGGCAGGTCCGCAGCCGGCTGCTGCTGCTGCAGCCCCAAGCGCGCTACCAGCGTGTGGCCGTGCACCGAGTCCCTGCATTGCACAACACCTATGATGTCCTCTTCCTGGGCACTGGTGAGTCCTGCAGCCTGGCAGGCTCTCGAGGGCATGGGGCGTGGCTGGTGGGTCACGGGCGGTGGGCTCCACCCAGGGCCTGAGTCCTGTGCGTGCTCCAGGTGATGGCCGGCTGCACAAGGCTGTGAGCGTGGGCTCCAGGGTGCACATCATTGAGGAGCTCCAGATCTTCTCTCCAGAACAGCCTGTGCAGAACCTGCTCCTGGACGGCCACAGGGTGAGCGGACAGGAAGGAGCCCTGGGCGCGTGCTTCCCTTATCGCCAGGCAGTCCCCACTGGGCCCTTCCTCCCCTGCCCCAGCAAGTGGAAAGTTATAGACTCCAGGCTCGTGGCACAGGCGATCTGAAAGCAGGGGGGACCCGGAACATGAGGGAGGCCCCTTGGGGTGACTCTTGTGGACCATGGGTGGTGGCCCCAGCTGCCCACGCTCACCTCTCATCCTGTGTCTGGCTGTGCAGGGGCTGCTGTATGCCGCCTCCCACTCGGGCGTAGTCCAGGTGCCCATGGCCAACTGCAGCCTGTACTCAAGCTGTGGGGACTGCCTCCTCGCCCGTGACCCCTATTGTGCTTGGAGTGGATCCAGCTGCAAGCACGTCAGCCTCTACCGGCCTGAGCTGGCCTCCAGGTGAGAGTTCCCAAAGGCCACTCCGACCTGTCCAGCACGGTGCACTTGACCTCAGGGCTGCTCCCCCAGGCCTCTCTAGGATTACTGGATGGTGCTATTGACACTCACTGTCCCTGCATAATTAGTCCTGAGCTCCCCTACTTCCTCTCAAAAGTGTTGTAGGTCAGATAGTCACTGTTTGCCCCACCTGCCAGAAAGTGATGACAGCCATGAAAAACCACGCAGGACAATGTGGATTGGTACATGGACATGGTTCAGTAACAGTGAGCGTTACAGAACAGTCCGTGAAGCCACAGACACAATTTAAAGTGGTTTCAAATAACATTTGGATTATAAAATGTTCTTTTAGAAAATAGGGATGAATACCAACAAAATAAAAACCAACCCTCATCCTACCACTGAGAAAGAATCATGGTGAATCTTGTTATGCTACTCTCCCAGGTATTTCTACCTAGAAGTAAAATAAACAAAATTCCAAATTTTTTTGGCAGTACTGGGGTTCGAACTCAGGGTCTCGCACTTGCTAGTCAGGGGCTCTACCACTTGAGCCCCTCCTTTTGTTGGCTATTTTTGAGATAGGGTCTTAGAACTATATGCCTGGGCTGGCTTTGAACTGTGATTCTCCTGATCTTTGCCTCCCAAGGAACTAGGATTACAGGCGTGATCCACCAGTGCCCCATCAAATGTTTTAAATAAACATGGGATATATTTCATTCATGGTGTTTTACCTGTAGGAAAAAGAGTACACAAAATTATTATGAGCCGAAGGTGCAATTAGTATTAGACTAGGATTAGATTCCCTGTTTTTTGGGGTTTTTTTGTTTGTTTTGTTTTTGTGGTACTAGGGCTTGAACTCAGGGACTTCACCTTGAGCCACTCCTCCAGCCCTATTTTTGTGAAGGATTTTTCGAGGTATGTCACAAATAGTTTTCACGAACTATTTGCCCATGCTAAAAAACCTTGATCCTACTGATCTCTGCTTCCTGAGTAGCTGGGATTACAGGCATGAGCCACTGGTCCCCGGCTACATTTGTCAGTTTTGTACAAATGTATATGTATTTTCATACATACACCTGGGAGGACATACCAGAAAAGCTAACTGCCACAATCGCTGTGTGGCAGATGGGGTGGGATTTCTGAAGTGATTTTATGCTTTATGTTTGGTTCAGTTTTATTTCCTGAGTGCATCAAGAAATACCTCTCTTGCATGCCTGTAATCCCAGCAGTTGAGAGGCTGAGACAGGAAGATTACCAGTTTGAGGCCAACCAGGGCAACACAACAAGAACTTGTCTCAATTTTTTTAAAAAAAAAAAGCTAGGCACCAGTGGCTCACGCCTGTAATCCTAGCTGCTTGGGAGGCTGAGATCTAGAGGACTGCTTAGAGCAAATAGAGGCCAGCTGAGCAAATAGTTTGTGAGACCACATCCCAAAATAACCAGAGCAAAATGGACTGGAAATAAGGCTCCAGTGGTAGAGCCCCTGCTTTGCAAGTGTGAAGTCCTGAGCGGGGAGGGGCATGGCTCAAGTGGTAGACACCTGCCCAGTAAGCATGAGGCCCTGAGTTCGAAACCTCAGTTCGAAATAAAGAAAGAAAAAGCTATCAACATGCAGACCCAGCTATCCTACCAGACTTTCTCAGGGCACATTGTGCATTTGTCGTGAAGAGAGATGGTACAGAGCTCATACTGCAGTGAGCTGTGTACAAGAGAGCCCACTCAAGCCCTGTGGGTGTGGGGAACGGGCTCAGGGCTGTGCCCTATCCACTGCTCTGGTCCTGGTGTTGGACTTGTGGGATGTCCTGGTCTATCACAGACTCTCTGGTCCTCAGGCCATGGATGCAGGACATCGAGGGGGCCAATGCTAAGGACCTCTGCAACACCTCTTCTGCCAGGCCCCGGTCTTTTGTCCCAGCAGGTAAGGCACCCCTGGAAGGCTGGAAGAGGGGTAGGGCTGCATCTGCTTGGATGATTCCTGCTAGGCATTGGGTGCAAACATCTTCCCTCACGTCCCCACGTGCCCAGTCCCACAAGCAGGGCTCCAGAAAGGAAGACTCAAGACGGTCCCAGGAGGCCCCAGGAAGGCCCGTCATGGCCCTGGAGCACAGCCAGGGGGAGGAGGGGTGAGCCCAGAGTGACTGTGGACACCAGCTCCCCTTCACCCGGTGTCTCTTTTGCCCGCAGGCAAGCCGTGTGAGCAGGTCCAGGTCCAGCCCAACTCTGTGAACACCTTGGCCTGCCCACTTCTTTCCAACCTGGCCACCCGCCTCTGGCTGCACAACGGGACCCCTGTCAATGCCTCAGCCTCCTGTCGTGTGTTGCCCACGGGGGACCTGCTGTTGGTGGGCAGCCAGCAGGGGCTGGGGGTGTTCCAGTGCTGGTCGCTAGAGGAGGGGTTCTCACAGCTGGTGGCCAGCTACTGCCCAGAGATGGTGGAGGATGGGATGGCCGACCAAGAAGGCCAGGGTAGCAGAGATCCTGTCATCAATACGTCACGTGTGAGTGCGCCAGCCACAGGCCACAGCAGCTGGAGTGTAGATAAGTCCTACTGGAACGAGTTCCTAGTGATGTGCACGCTCTTTGGGCTAGCCGTGGTGCTTCTAGTCTTGTTTTTCCTCTACCGGCACCGGGACGGCATGAAAGTCTTCCTGAAGAAGGGGGAGGGTGCTAGTGTGCACCCCAAGACCCGCGCCGGGCTGCAGCAACCTGAGACCCGACCGCTCAACGGGATTGGCCCCCCCAGCACCCCACTTGACCACCGAGGCTACCAGGCCCTGTCGGATAGCTCCCCAGGGCCCCGAGTCTTCACTGAGTCAGAGAAGAGGCCACTCAGCGTCCAGGACAGCTTTGTGGAGGTGTCCCCAGTGTGTCCCCGGCCCCGGGTGCGCCTGGGCTCTGAGATCCGTGACTCGGTGGTGTGAGAGCTGACTTCTAAGTGAGGCCACCCTGGTTTTGGGGGCCATGAATGTGCAGAGGGCCTGGCTGGACCTCTGCTCCACGGGACACACCATGCTGCCCTGTCATCTGGACCTGGGAGGCAGCTGATCCGTTACTTTTCAGCCAGGCCATAAGGTCCCTCCAGCCCAGCCAGCCTGCTGTAAAGCGCCCGGGCTAGGGCCTGGTGGGGCCTGGCTAGGTGGGCAGGACACTGCTCCTTACTAAACTGAGCCCTTCCTTGAAACAGCTGAAAATGTGAAGCCAGAGAGGAAGAGACAGCATGGCATGCTACACACATAGCCACTCCAGTTGACACTCCTAGCCTCCAGGCCTCTGGGGCCCTTGGGGACACATCCAGAGTGGTATGTGACACAGTGAAATCCCTCACCAACTGGCCTCTTCTGCCTTATTCCACTGCCACAGGCTGCCCTTCCTCACTGCAGAGCTGGGGCAGCTCGGGCGCCAGCCAGCCAAGGATGTAGCTATGGCCGCTGTCACCCACCACCTCAGGGACAGAGGGCTAGGCTGGCTCTGCAGCCCTCACTAGACCCTGGGCTCAGATCCTGCTCCCGGACCTCTCAGGCCTGTATCAGGCTGTGACCCCACGAGTAAGAGGGAGTGGAGCCCAGAGGAGTTTGTGACAAGGTTCACCTTTCCCTTGGGAAGAGTGAAGGAAAAGACTGCTGCCTGCCTTCCTCCATCCCAGTCTGAGACAACCCTTGTGTCTTTTGCCACCATCCCAGCCCCCAGCCCCCTTCCAACTCAAATACAAGGACTTAACTGTACCCCAGCTTCTCTCCCTGCCTCCCCCTCACAGACACCTTGCTTATCTCCACTGCAAGGGACACTGATACTGCCCAGCACAGGGGCTCTGAATTTGTGTGTTTTCTATTTTTTTAATAAGATGCACTTTACCTTTTTTTTTTTTTTAAATAAAATCTGAAGAATTACTCTTCGATCATGGCCCTTCTTCATAAAGAACTTTTGTGTTTTTGAGTTTGGTCTTTCTGGGGGTTCCAAGCCTCCTCTTCCCATACCTAATTAGCCAGAGCCAGCCTAGCCTGGCTAGCCTGGCCCCAGGGAGCATGGCTACAAGGAGGGGTTAAGCCACTGTGGGTAGGGGTCACTTGGTCCACCTCAGCCCCTTCTCTCTACATTCAGTACAGTTCAGCAAGGGTGGATTTGTAAATTTTTCAAATGATCATATAAAATTAACTCTCTAGCACAGGCTGACGGTGCATGCCTGTAATCCCAGCTACTTGAGAGAGCTGAGGCAGGAGGATGGAGAGTTTGAGGCAAGTCTGGGCTACACAGCAAAACCTCATTTAAAAAAAAAAAACTCAGGGCCTTGTGCGGGAGGCAGGCACTCCACCACTTGAGCCTCTCCCGAAGCCCGAACAAAATTGTTTCCAATACAGGCAGAAACTCCTTAACTAACCACACCCACAGTCAGGACTGGGGAAAGTCCCACCTATGTGCTCCTCACACCTCATTTAGGGTAGGGGGCAGGGTAAGGTTTCATTTCCTGCTGGTCCCTTCTTCACATGTGACTTTATTCCTAGGTAGGACCAAAGGTTCCTAGAAGTTCAGTCTTCTTCCCCTGTGTGTCTAATGTCACATGCAGGGCCAAAGCTTCCAAAGGTTTATTACTGATCATTAGAAACAGAGTGATGACACAGCGGTGGGAAGAGGGAGGGTCCTCCCTCCCTGCCCCGAGCCAGACTGCACAGTGCCAGCTCCTGGCTGGCCCAGCTTGGCCAGCCCGGGCACCGCAGGGATAGCCTTGGCCACAGCTCGGCAATGGAGTAGTCTTGGACAGGGTGCCGGGTCCCACGCTGCTGTCACAGAACAATCTTAAAGGAGCTGCACAAGAGAACAGTTGATTGGGTTGTCTTTTGTGTGTGTGTGCTGGGGAATCAAACCCAGGCCCTCGTGCTCTGCCACTGAGCTACACCCCCAGCCCAAGCTGGACTTTCTGATGGAAGAGGATGGTAGGGACTAAATCCAAACATACCCACCTCTCTCCTCTGTGTCAGCAGCCCCTGCCCCTCTGGGACAGACACTCAGAGGAAGCTGGAGTTTTCTCTCACCCCATCCACCTATCATAAAAATCCCAGACCTAGAAGCAGAGGACAACTCTTGGGTACCCAGATGGCAGAGGGCCCGCTGTCATACCTGGCAAAGTCTGGAGAACGGGAGATGACATGCTGGAACTCAGAGAGGTTGACGGTCCCATCCCTGTCAATGTCCGACTCTTCCAGGATCTAGGAAAGGGAAGAAATGAGGCTGCAGCCCCAAACCTTCCCCCGGTCTCCTGGGCCCCGCTCGGCCAGTCCCGCCCAGGACTCACGTTGTCAATGAGCTGCTTCATCTCCGAATCGCTGAGCCGCATGTCCTCCCCCTCTCCCGTGAGGCAGTTCACGAGCCGGCTCAGGTCTTCCCTGTCCAGGGTCCCATCGTCATCAAAGTCTGGGGGGCAGACGCAGGAAGCCCAAAAGGACGTGGTCAGGAGGAGTTCCACAAGTGGCGCCCATTTTCCAAGCAGCACCATCACCAGGCCCGTAGGGAAGCCCCTCCTGGTCCTTACCGAAAATGCGGAAAGCATAGTGGGACTTGATGTCTGGGGTTGCTGTGTCACTGAACACACTAAGGAGGTCCAGGAAGTCCTCGAAGCCCAGGCTGTCTCTGGTGGGAGACGTGGAGAAGACCCTGCAGATTCGCTCCTTGAAGGGGTTGGCCTAGTTGAGAAAGACTTCTGTGAATGTCACAGAACGCAGTCCGGGCAAGACCTGACTAGAAACTTCAGAGAGCAAGTCTTAGTACCTGCAACATGGAGCCCAGGCTCATTAGGAGGAAGCTTTAGGGCTAGGATGGAAAGCCATGGGGACACAGGAGGGCCAACTGAGCCAGCTGTGATGGCTTCTTGGGAGTCTAAATAAAAAGGCATACACAAGCCAGGAATGGCAACGCATGCCTGTAATCCCAGTAAACAGGAGGCCGAGGTAGGATCCTGGTCCGAGGCCAGCCCCAGGTAAAAATGCAAGACCCTGAAAGCAAAAAGGGCTAGGTGTGGCTCAAGTGGTGGAGCTGCTTGAGTAGCAAGTGCAAGGCCTGAGGGCAATCCCCAGAAATGCAAAAAAAAAAAAAAAAGGCCTACATGACATAAGTAGGTCAGAGCAGAAAGAGGAAGTCATCCTAAGCAAAAGCAATAAGATGGGCTGGTTATTTTAAAATATAAACGTTTAACTGAACAACTATTTTGTGACAGGCACTGAGCCAGGATCATTGCACAGGAAACTTCACAGCAGCTCCGTGGAATGGCAATCTTCCTCTTCGTTAGTGTTTCTCAAACTTAAATAAATAATTCAATTCCTCTAAAACAACAAAATGGTTTTGAACCTACAATAACGCATCCTAGAATCCCAGTTGGAAAAGCACCATTGTAGGGCTGGCGGAGCAGCTCAAGTGGTAGAATGTCTGTCTAGCAAGTGCAAAGCCCTGAGCTCAAATCCTAGTGAGGAAAAAAAAAAAAAAAAAAAAAGCATCATTCTAGATAATTCTGGGTGTTTTTGGTGAAGTCCTTGTCACCAGGAAATTAGGGCTAAGCAGAAAAAAAGATAGGAGTAGGGACCAGTGACACCGTGATATCAATTTGGAGTGGCAGGAAGAGTTCAGGTGAGACGAGGGGAGGGTTCGCACCTTGAGCTCTGGAAGGTTGAAGATCACCTCGAAGGGCACTCGTGCATGCAGGAACTCCTCCGTGGTTGCATGCTCCAGGGGAAGCAGCTCACAAAACCGCTTGTGGGCTCTGGCAGAGAGAGGAGAACTTGGTGCTCACCAAGGTTCAGTCTCCCTGTGTGATTGCATGCCCACTCCTTGCCTTAAGGATGGTCATAAACCAGGTGAGAAGCTAAGACAAGTACATAGAACTGAGCCAGTGACACCAGTGAGCCAGAGAGGGAGGTAAGTTACAAAAGGTTGGGGTAGGAGCCAGAAGTTGGCCCTTAAGACAGGGAGAAAAAAGCAAAACCACAATTTCATTCTCACTTTCATTCCCCAAGGCTTCCCTGAACCATCCAAGCCCCCACATGGTTCCCACTGGAACTGCCACCAAATCCGCTTTCTCCCTGTGTAGTCTTGGACAAGTTACCAAACTTCCCTGAACCTGCTTCACTGTCCTGAACCTCCCTCCTGAGGACTCGGTAACGATAAGCAACACTTGGCACAGGTCCTGACGCATGGTTAAGTGCCAAAATGCGTTAACGGTTACTATGCCATCCGGGTAAAGTTGGAAGAAGAAAGAGCCAGGCTCTCCAAGCCTCTCTGTTTTTGCCAGGGCTCAAAGTCGGCCCAGAACTACCGCAGCCCCTGCCAGACGAGGGCAGGAAGCTGAGCAGCGCAGAAGCCAGAGGAGCGCAGAGGCGAACAGCGCCCAACTTTTCCTGCATCGTGGGGAGATAGGCGGCTCCGCGGTGCAAAGCTGGGCGGGGAGGACATTCCGGGACCAGGGCGCACAGCCGGGCCTTGGACTCCTGGCCTCCGGTTCTAGCTCCGTTGACCTCCGCCAAGCCCTGCCCCTCCCTCCGAGGCGGGGATGCCCCGTGTGCCAGTCTGCAGGAAAGCGCCACCCGAACCGCCTCTAGAGGATCCCAAGGTGGGGATCCGGAGGTGGGGTCCGGGGCGCCACTCACAGAAGGATCTCCTGCTTGGTCAAGAAGGTCAAGTCCTAGAAAGCAAATTCACAGAAAGAAGGGAAGTGGTGGGGGGTTGATTGAGCAGGTCGCCCGAAGGCCACCCGCACCCCGCTGCGGGGCGCAGACCCGCACGCGAGCTCCCCGAGAGCCGATGTCCCGCGCACCTGGTACTCGGCCAGCAGCTCCTTGGACAGGCGACTGCCCGAGCCCCCCATGGCCGCGGCGCGCGCACAGCTCCGCCAACTCTCCTCCGGACGCCGGCAACTTTCTCACTTCCGCCCTCGGGCCGCCTCACCGCCACCGCCCCGGGGCCCGCCCCTCTGTGTGCCGCCCAGACGCTCCCAGCGCTGCTTAGCCACGGAGCTCCCGGCTCGCCCGCTGTCCCAGGCGAGCTGGGGGCGGGGCGGGGCGGGGCGGGGCGGGGGCCAGACTCTCCGGGGCGGGGTCAGGCGTCGAGGCCCCGCCTCCCTGTGGGCGGGGCGGACCACGCCGCTCGCGGGTGTGGTGCGAGCTGCGCATGCGTCAAGGGCGCTGCGCCCTTGCTAGGCTTGGAACTGCGGCTTCCCGGTACGTCGAGCGGTGCGTCCGCTTCACCTGCTGCAAGTGTGGGTGGGGTCCCGTGAAGGACATCTGAAAAGTCCCTGCAGCCAGAGGATCCAGGAAACCTCAAGACTCGCTCAGTGGCTGGAGGCTGTCGGGTGCTCATCTGCCTAGAGAGGGCTTTTCTGGATTTATCACCAGCCACGTGCTGCAGTCTCCTCCCCTCCCCCATGCCACCTTTTCCAGAAATAACCACAACCTTGCTGCCTCTTGAGGCTGTTTACTGACGACCCACTGGATGTCAAGCAGTGTGCATGGTTATTTTCCATGCTTGGAACAGCCCGACAAGGTAAGTGTCCATTTTTTACAAACGTGGATACTTAGATCTAAAGGATTACAGAGTTGGGTCCTGACCCAGACATTTAGGAAGTGGTCCGTCAGGACCCCTCACTGCTGTTCTGATGGTTACAGCGGACAGGCCTCCTTTGACCCCACCCCCAAGTGCGTGCTTCATTCTGAAGATGGAGTCTAGGGCTGACCCACCTGTTCGCTCTTGTCCCTTGTCAACCCCCAGAACCATGCTTGGCACAAGGTAGGCGCTCAGCAAGTATTTATCGGATGCATGCGTGAATGAATGAGCCTTTGCCACTTGAAAAGGTGAGGATTCCAAGCTACTAGGAGAAGGAAAAAAAGGTGGGCTTGGTTCTTGATCCTTCCCATTCATTCTGCTTGTGAGGTTTGTGTACATCTGAGCATGTAAGTCTCAGTTTAAAGTCATCAGATGGTTAAAAACCCACATCCAGGGCTGGTGGAGTGACTCAAGTGGCAGAGCCCCTGCCTAGCAAGCATGAGGCCTTGAGTTCAAACCCCACTACCACCAAAAAAAAAAAAAAAAAAATGTAAACAACCCACATCCTGGTCCTCTGTAACTGGACTTCCTCCTCCTTTCTCTCTGTGCTTGCCTTTTGGCTCCCTGTGTTTCAGCCACCAGACTCTCAGTTCCTCTTCCATCCTGTGGACGGAGTCCTTGGGGAAGCCCCTCCTGACTCCTTAGAATTCATTAGGAATCTCGAGTATCCAGAGGTCCCCTCAGACAGCACATGTCGTGGGTGCATTTAGGTTCACTTCAGTTATGATTGGGTCAATGTCTCTTCCCCCTGTAGTCTGCAGGAACCATGGTCCTCAAGACCTGCTGTGTGACAGTTCTGTAAGTGTTCACTGAGTGACTGTGATTTCCCCAGCACTCCATAATAAGAACATCTGAGTGTGACTCTGTTAAGCCTCACTGTGTCAGCGTGTGAGTCCCACCATGGAGAACTATCCACTCCATGAACTGCAGACTACAGAACTATAGGACCACCAAAAACAGTGGCGGTGAGCAGAGGGTAGCCCTGTCCCGGTCTGGTCATTTTTCTCTGCTAGTACATTCTTTCTGTTCAAGAAAGGGTTGGTCTTCTGTAACAAAGAGGTAAACAAAGAGTAAGAAGCTGTCACTGTGTCTCCTGTACTAGACGGAGGACAGGGAGCACTGGCCAGCCCAGGGGACACCTGGATCAGTATTTCATGGTGAAAATGTGGGAAAATCAGCCTTGTGGCATGGTGACAGCTGTCACCTAGATCTCTCAACCACCTCCTTTGCTTTTTGGTAAATTTTGTATGGGAAGAACGCTACTGACCAGCCAATAAGAACATTGCGTGCTATTTGATACGTTTCTCATTGTAAATTATTAAGTAGGCATTCTGAGTTTGCAGACCTTGGTGAATTTAGTTAGCATATTGTCTTTCCTATGGCTGATCAACTCTTTTTTTGGCAATAGTGGGGTTTGAACTCAGGGCCGCACACTTGCTAGGCAGGCACTTTACCACTTGAGCCACGCCTCCAGAATCAACTCTTAATGCATGAAAAACCTGAGTTGTTGATGATAAACTTTTAAAAACAGTTGTTTGAGCCAGGTGTGGTGGTTCATGCCTCTAATCCCAGCCCTCAGGAGGTGGAGGCAGGAGGATTTTGAGTTCAAGGCCAGCCTGGAATACATAAGAAAAAAAAAAATTCTTGAGGGCTGAGTGTATGGTAGAGAACTTGCTTAGCCTACTCTGTGTTCCATCCCCAGCACTGGGGCCAGAGAGGGAGACACAAAAAAAATTAAAAAATAAAAACAAAAGCTGGCGCCGGTGGTTCATGCTTGTAATCCTAGCTACTCCAGAGGCAGAGATCAGGAGGATCACAGTTCAAAGCCAGCCCCAGGCAAATAGTGTACAAGACCCTATCTTGGAAATACCCAACACAAAGCAGAGCTGGCAGAGTGGCTCAGTTGGTAGAATGTCTACCTAGCAAGTGTGAAGCCCTGAGCTCAAATCCCAGTACCACCAAAAGAAACACAAAACAACCCAAAACCCTACTTGTAAAATTGTTTTATTTTTTGGTTAGATTTTCAAATGTATCTTGGCTTTCTGAATTCCACCTTCTTTTTCCCCAAGATTTTTACTTTGTTGCTTGCATTACTGTTTTGGTGGTACTGGGGGTTTAACACAGAGCCTCTGGCTTGCTAAGCAGGAGCTCTACCACGTGAACCATACCCCCATCCCTTTTTGCTTTAGTTATTTTTAGGATAGGGTTTCAAGTTCCTTGCCTGTGCTGGTCTCAGCCTTAGATGCTCCTACTTCTGTATCCCAAGTATCTGGGATTACAAGTGTGTACCAGCACACCCAGCTTGTTTATTGACATGGGGATCTCACACCATTGCCTGATAAATTCTCTTGATCTCAGTGAAACTCACTTTTAAATTTTTATTGTGACCTAAAATGACAGGTAACAAAGTTTATTGTCTTTTTTTTTTGAGACAGGGTCTCACTGTGTTGTTAGGCTGTTTTTGGACTAGAGATCCTTTTGCCTCTGCCCCCTAAATGCTGGGATTTTAGGCATGTACCACCACGGCCAACTGTCTTCATCATTTTTTTTTTTCCTTTTTGGTTTGAACTCAGGGCCTCACGCTTGCTAGGCAGGCCTTTCACTGCCCAAGCCACTCCACCAGCCCTGTTTTGTGTTGGGTTTTCTAGAGATAGGGTCTTGAGACCAGGCTGGCTTTGAACCTTGATCCTTCTGATCTCTGACTCCCAAGTAGCTAGGATTATAGGTGTGAGCCACTGACACCTAGCTCTTTTTTTTTTTGTGGGATGGGATTTGAACTCAGGGCTTCACACTTGCAAAGCAGGCACCCTACTGCTTAGCCGCACTTCCAGTCCATTTTTCTCAGGAACTATTTGCCTGGGCTAGCCTTGAACCCCAATCCTCCACTGTCAGCCTCCCAAGTAGCTGGGATTACAGGCGTGAGCTGCTGCTGCTCGGCTTGTCTTCAGGAATATTTAAGTACACTGACATGGCTATGCAGCAAGTCCCCAGAACTTTCTCATTTTGTAAAACTGAAATTCTGTACCCATTAAACTTAGTTTGAGCTTGCTATGTCACTTTGTTTTCTGTATTTCTTTTCTGATTTACTAATAGGAAGTAGAGCCGAAGTAACCCAAACTTAAACTGAAGCCATTCTACTGAGGTAATTCTGCCTTAATTTTTTTTTTTTTTTTTTTTTGATGCAGGGTCTCACTATATAGCCCAGGCTGGCCTCAAACTCTCACTCCTCCTTCTGCAGCCTTCAAATGCTGGGATTATAGGTGTGCACCACCATGCCAAGCTAGTACTGCCTCTTTTTGAAGTCCTGTGTGGGCCAGCAGCAGTCCATTCTCCTCACACATCTGGATCCAGGGTTTCAGGAGGCCAGTGGGAGATGCAGCCGACACTGACTTCCTGTGTGCACACTGAGCCATCCTCATACAAAATGGCTGACCTCATGGTCAGTTGGAATCATTACAGAACAACAGGAAAGTTATTTCTAGAAACACAGTGGTCAGCTTTCTATCTTTCTTCCTTTTTTTTTTTTTTTTTTTGTGGTGGTCCTTGGGTTTGAACTCAGGTCCTCACACTTGGTAAGCAGGTGTGACTACAGAGTGGCCAGTTTTGAAGTTTTGAGTACATGTGTACACTGGCTCACTGGAGCAGTTTCCTGGTGGCACTTTGATCCCAAGGCACAGGTTCACTCTTACCCATCATTCTACTGGGATTTTATTTTAAAAAAAAATCAGCAAAGGGGACTGCATAGAATGTCATAGCAGCGTTGTGTATGACAGATGAAAGTAGCCATGATCTATACATAGAAGAGTTCAAGATTGGTTTAAAAAAATTGGAGATCCAAGCCGGGCACAGTGGCTTACACCTGTAATCCTAGCTACTTGGGAGGCTGAGATCAGAAGGATTGAGATTCAAGACTAGCTTGGACAAATAGTTTCTGAGACACCATCTCCAAAATAACCAGAACAAAATGGATTGGAGGTGTGACTCAAGAGGTAGAGTGCCCGCTTTGCAAGTTAAAGCCCTGAGTTCAAACCCCAGTCCCACCAAAAAAAAAATAATTACATTCTCTCTCTCCCCTCCCTTAATATACACATATGTATATGTAACTTATATCAAAAATAGTATGAAACTGGATGTCAGTGGCTCACGCTTGTAATCTCAGCTACTCAGGAGGCAGAGATCATGAGGATCAAGGTTCAAAGCCAGCCTGGGCAAATATTTTTGTGAAACCCTATCTCAAAAAAACCCTTCACAAAAAAGGGCTGGTGAGTGGCTCAAGGTGTAGGCTCTGAGTTCAAACCCTGGGAGCACACGCGTGTGCACACACACACACACACACACACACAAATAGTCTGTATTTTTAATTTTGTAAAAGCATAATTCATTGCAGGTGATGGAATTATGGGTGGTTTCTGTCTTCTCTAAATATTTTACCAAAGGCATATATTCTATACTACTTTATAGTCAGAACACAAAATAAAGATTTTGTGAATGGATTGGAGGCATGACTCAAGTGGTAGAACACCTGCCTAGCAAGCATGAAGGCCTGAGTTCAAACCTCAGTGCCACCAGGGGGAAAAAAAAAATAGTTGTGTGAAAATAACCTCCGGGAACGGTCCAGCACCACGAGTTTCTCATTGCTGACAATCGTTTCAGGTCAGCTGCATGGCTGTTCTGCAGAATTCAGAGGATGATTCCTATCTGCTTCCTCCAAACACCGAGGCCTGGGAAGAGCGAGGCATCCCTGACTTCGTCTATGGGCAGAAGGAGCTTATGGTGGAGGGGATTCAGTGGCCACAGACTGTCCCCAGCACCCCGGACACAGTGTCACTGTCCCGTTTTGACCGTGCTCTCCGCTCTGCATGGAAGCAGCGGGTAGAACTGGGCCTGTTTCGCTACCGCCTGGGGGAGCTGCAGACCCGAACTCTCCCTGGTGCTGTGGGTTTCGTGGCTCAGCTGAATGTGGAGCGGGGGGTACAGAGGAGGCGCCCCCAGACCATCGGGAGCGTAAGGCAGGCATTTGACCCTCAGCAGTTTAATTTCACTAAGATCCGGCCAGGAGAAGTGCTCTTCCGTCTGCGCCGGGAGCCCGATGGCCCTGCCATCGTCCAGCAGGAGGACATCCTGGTGGTGATCAATGTCAGCCCCCTGGAGTGGGGCCATGTCTTGCTGGTGCCCGAGCCTGCTCGGGGACTGTCCCAGCGCCTGGTGCCAGGGGCATTGCGGGCTGGGGTGGAGGCTGTGTTACTGAGTTTGCACCCAGGCTTCCGGGTGGGCTTCAATAGTCTGGGGGGCTTGGCCTCTGTGAACCACCTCCACCTGCATGGCTACTACCTGGATCACCGGCTGCCCGTGGAGGGGGCTCCAAGTGTGCCCCTGGACCCCAAGGGCCATTTGCATCTGCTCCAGACCCTTCCAGTGCCTGGCTTTCTCTTTTACACCAGCAAGCCAGGGTCCGACTTGGAAGCCTTGATTAGCAGGGTGTGTAGGGCCACTGACTATCTCAGTGACCATGAGATTGCTCATAACTTGTTTGTGACCCGAGGAGCTCCACCTGGAAAGGCATCGCCTCCCTTGGCCCTCACAGGGGTCCGAGTCATTTTGTGGACCCGGAAATCCAGCTTTGGAATCAAGGAAGGTGAGGCTTTCAATGTTGCTCTCTGTGAGCTGGCTGGGCACCTCCCTGTCAAAACATCCCAGGATTTCTGCAGCCTGACAGAGGCGGCGGCTGTGGTTCTCATTCAGAGCTGTCTGCTGCCCCAGGCTCAGGCCAGTGAGGTGCAGGCTGCACTGGTAGCTCTGATGGCCCAGGAAGAGCCATGATCCTTCTGAAGCTTCTAATTTGCTGGCTGACTTGAGTTCCTTTCCTGGAGGCTGGTGACCCTGGTCACTGGGGCATCTGTTTTCATGCCAGCCTTCCTACCTCTCTAAGCTTAAGAAGAAGGATGAATTAAAAACTGAGGTCAGGCACAGTGTCTCACACTTACAATCCTAGCTACTTGGGCAGTAGAGATCTGGAGGATCACAGTTTGAGGCCAGCCTGGGCAAAAAGTTCATGAGACCCCAATCTCAACCGATGACTGGGTACTTGCCTGTCATCCCAGTTACACCAGGAAGCATCAGGATTGCAGTTCAGGGCAGTCTGGGTACAAAGCGTGACTCTGTCTCAAATATAGGCAACACAAAAAAAGCTGTCAAGTGGCTTAAGTGGTAGAACACCTGCCTAGCATGCATGAGGCCCTGAGTTCAATTCCCAGTACCACCAAAAAAAAAAAAAAAGAAAAAGAAAATGAAGTGATAGCTGATCTCTATGAAGGGGAGAACTTGTGAAATAAATGAATGTTCTCTTGCAGGTGTTTTTACTGCCTGTCACCTTCTTAGACAAGTCCCAGGGATGTCAGACCTATTGTTAAAGCTCATGTGAGAATTGCACACTCCTGACTTCATGCATGGGCTTTTCCTTTAGTATCAAGTGTCAGCCTTTGGTGGTTTATGTGCCTCCAGGACAGAGCTACTGACTCCTCTCTTCTTAGTCTCTCTCTGTCCCCCTTTGCCTCCTCTGATTTTTTCCTTTCCTTTTTTTTTTTTTGAGATGGAGTCTCATTATGTAGCCCAAACTGACTTTGAACTCCTGGACTCCAGCAATCCTCCTTCCTCAGCCTCTCTTGCAGCTGGAACTGCAGGTGCCATCACACACTTGGCTTTTTTTTTTTTTTTTTTTTGTGGAACTGGGGTTTGAACTCAAGCCTTCATGCTTGCAAAGCAGGTGCTGTATCCCTTGAGCTCCTCCTCTGGTACATTTTACTCTGATTATTTTGTAGATGGGGTCTCACAAACTATTTGCCTGGGCTGGTCTCGAACTGCAATATTCCTGATCTCAACCTTCCAAATAGCCAGGATTACAAGTGTGAGCCACCACACCTGGCTCCACCACTAATTTTTGTTTCTTTGTCTCCCTTGTGTCTGGTCCTACTTCATCTCCTTGAAAATTCGTCTCTTAAAAAGCCAGGTGCCAGTGGCTCATGCCTGTAATCCTAGCTGTGTGGAGGCTGAGATCCAGAGGATCGCTGCTTAAGGCTAGACCAGGCAGATGGATGAGTCAGGCAGCCCATTTGCAAAATAACCAGAGGAAAAAAAGTGGACCCCAGTCCCTGCAAAAAAAAAAAAAAAAAACATCTAGAATTTTCCTCTGGCCCCCAATATGGAGTGGAATGTCCTTTCATCTCATTTCATGTGAAAACAGTATCCTCCCAGCTTTAAAGGGGCCAGTCCTAACAACCCCCACTTAGTAAGTGGCTGATAGATTTAGTCACTTGTCAGAGGTCAGGCAGCTAAGGAAGGAGGCGTCTTGATGACCACAGGTAGTCACATGCCGGAATCTGAGCTGGGACACTGCTCCTGGTGACTATCTCTTCAGTCAGTGGTTCCTGTAACAGGTAGTGCTGCCTTAGCAAATGGCAGTCCCTGACCTTCAACCACCTCTGATAGGATCTTTCCCGGGCACTCTGTAAGTAGGCTTCTTGTAAAATCTGGGCATGGTAGCTTGCTTCTATAATTCCAGCTACTTGGGAGGCAGATGAAAAGGATCTCCAAAAATAGCAAGACACTGTCTCAACAAACAAGCCAGGCATGGTGATACACACTTGTGGTTCCAGCTATGTTGGAGGCCAGAGGTAGGAGGATCATGGTCTGAGGCCAGCCCCAGGCAAAAACCTGAGACCCTATCAGAAAAATAACTAAAGCTAAAAAAGAGCTGGGAGCATGGGTCAGGTGGTAGAGCGCTTGCCTAGCAAGAGTGAGGCCCTGAGTTCAAACCCCAGTATCACAAAAAAAAAATCCAGAGCTAAGTACTTGCTCTTCTAGCTGCTTCTGAGCAATCCCGGGAAGTTTTAAAGACCTCGTTGCTTAGGCTGTGGTAAAGGCACCTGTTTAGCAAGGGTGAGGTCCTGAGTTTAAACTCCAGTACTAACAAAAAAATAAATAAATGTTTAGCCAGGTGCCGGTGGCTCACGCCTGTAATCCCAGCTACTCAGGAGGCAGAGATTAGGAGGATCGTAGTTCCAAGACAGACCTGGCAAATAGTTCGAGACCCTATCTCAAAAAAAACCATCACATTTATATATGCCTTGAGACTTTTTTTTTCAGTAGTGGTCCCTTTACTCGAGCCTCATGCTCCCTAGGTACTGCTTTACTACTTGAGCCATTTCGCCTGCCCTTTTGTTTTGGGTATTTTCCAGATAGGGTCTTGAAAAACCATTTGCCCAGGCTGGCTTCAAACTGTGATCCTCCTGATCTCTGCCTCCCAAGAAGCCAGGATTACAGGCGTGAGCCATGGCACCAGGCATCTTTTGACTCTTAAGAATAGGGTTTGAGCTGGATGCTGGTGGCTGGCGCCTGTAATCCTAGCTACTCAAGAAGCAGAGATGGGGAGAATGGAGTTCCAGGCCAGTCCGGGATTTGAGTCCCAGCACTCAGGAGGCCTGCCTGGGCTACATGGTGAGTTCCAACCATACAGCTACATTGTAACATCCTGTCTCAAACAACAAAAAAGGGCAGGAGGCATTGCTCAAGTGATCCGGCACCTGACTCTTAAGGATGAATCCCTAAGTTCAAACCCCAGTACCACTGAAAAAAAAAAGGGGGGGGGGTTCTGGTGGAGAGAGGCTCAAGTGGTAGAATTCCTGCATAGCAAAAGTGGCAAGTCTTGAGTTCAAGTCCCAGTACCACAAAAAAGGACTGGAGGGGTGGCTCAGGGGATAGAGCACCTGCTTTGCAAACACAAAGTCCTGAGTTCAAACCCCAGTCCTACCAAAAAACAAAAAAAAACCAGTACCACAAAAAAAATAAATGGGACTGGATGCTGGTGGCTCACACCTATAATTGTAGCTACTCTGGAGGCAGAGATCAGGAGGATCACGTTTTCAAACCAGCCCCAAGCAAATGTTTCAGGTGATCCCATCTCCAAAACCCATTACAAAATAGGGCTGGTGGAGTGGCTCCAGCTGAAGAGTGCCTTCCTAGCAAGTGTGAGGCCCTGAGTTCAAACCCCAGTGCCACAAATAAATAAATATAAATGGGGATTTGGACTGAAGCTTGAACAGGGAACAGAGGCCTTGGCTTTGAGTATAGTAGGAAGTTCTGATAAAGCCACAGCATTTCTACCTCTTTGCTGGCCTCTTAATGCATGCCCTCAGATGTTAAGTGGTGTAATTTGATCTAATGGGAAACCTTGGAGAGTACTAAATTGGGAAGCAGATTTGCATTTTGAGACAAATACCCTAGCTGCAGTGGGGAGGATGAATGAAAAACAGAATCTGGGAATTCAATGAAGAGGTTGCTGAATGCTATCAGTTCAGGCAAGAAATGAGATTAATTCAGGGTCTGGAACACTAAAAAATGAGTGTCCTGGAAACCAAGGGACTCCGGAGCATTTCATAGAAAAATGTCACATGGTGAAGAAAGAGCCAGAAGTCTGTGAACTAAAAAATTTCCATGTCTTTTAAAAAGAATGGAAAAAATTTAAAGCATCCTCTAGATTTACCCACACAGAATAATCTGAGTGACGAACTGGGCTAAATTTGGTGGAGATGGCTAGCAGAAGTCACACAAAGTGGCAGGGTGTCAAACAGGAGTGACAGTGAGAAAGCAATGGAATGAGGCGGTTCTGTTATTCCTGAATTTAATGGAGCAGTCGGTCATCAAGATGAAAGCCTTGGAAGGCACGTGTCCTAATTATGGCTGTCCTTATCAAGTGCAGAGACTGTGGTCACAGCATGGTTTCTTAAAAACGGAAGAAAGGCTAACAGCAATTTATCACCACGACGGGTTCAAGGATAGACGGGGGTGAGAGTGATGCAAACGCGCACCAAAGCTGGAGAACTACAAGTCCCATGATACATCTGGAGGGCCGCACGCTCCACCTGCGCCCATGTGGGTGTGGCTCCCAGGGAGCCCCGCCCCCAGAACGCTACGCCAATGAGGGCCGCCCTGTGTCCATGACGACGGCGGAGGCGGGATCTCGGAGCTGGGAGTTAACCCCAAGGGGGAGCGGACTCCCCTCGCGACGGCGGGGATCGACAGTCCTGTGGAACGAAGAGGCGGTCCCCGACGTCCAGCAACGCTCAGGAAGAGCCGGAGCGGGCGACGGGCGACCATGAGCGACCAGCTGAGTCCAGCCCCAGGCCGCTAGGGGCAGCCCCAGCAGCCCCTTCGCTCTCCTCAAAACCTCGGGTGGGCAGTGTCCGCCGTGGGGTCCCCTTCCGCCCTCAGAGCAAGGTCTTTGCCATCAGGTGCCTGGCCCCAGTTATACGCGTGGAGAAACTGAACACTGGGGTAGAGAAAGGCCAGGCTCGGGGGACTTTTAATCTTCCCCTATATTTTAAAGCAAAGATCCTCCCCAACTCTTAGCTCTCTCCCTTCCCACTCAAGAACAACAGCAAAAAAAATGCCACCATCGTGGCTCCTGCCAGTTCTGTCCTCCACCTGCAAGCACCGCAGTGTGTTGTATGACCCAGTGTGATCCTGGGTGATTGGGACTTGGGGTCTCACCAGCATCCCATGCTCCCTTCGCACGCACACACCCAGTACTTGGAAACCTCCAGTCCTGAAGCGACAGCAATATTCCCTTTTAACACCACGAAGAGCCTAACAGTGGATTCCTGCAGGTCTTCCCGGGCCTGGAAGGAGGTCTGATATATAATTCATTCCTGCCTCCCTCCCCGTAGAATCTAAGAGGATGGAGCCCAGTACCAGTAAGACCAGTGAGTCCGAGGAAGACGATGTTGAGGAAGAGGAGTCTGATGAGTGTGTTAAAGAGGAAGCCACCATCCCTTCTAACCCTTCACAGCAGGCAGTCTCAAAGGCATTTGAAAGTGGGGTTCCCTTATCCATTATAGCCAAGAAAATTCCAAAGAAAATCATAGCCCCAACAGACACAGATGATTTAGAAGTTGGGAGGAGAAAGAGAAGGCGGAAACGCAGGTAACTTTCCCCTGGTCCCCTTGCCTGCTTGGCCCCAGAGAGTCACACCCACTCTGCCCATCAGCATTTGGGGTGCTGGGATCTAAGTTCTTCTTTAGTCTTTGAGAGAGGACAAGAAAGGCTAGAGCATCACTAACCTTTTGACACAACAGGAACAAAATTTAGAACCATTTGGGCTGGCTCAGTTTGGAATTTCAGCATATGTGTAGCACCCTGGTTTTTTACTAAGTTGCTTCTAGCGAAAATGAATTCGTGTTGTGCATTTGTTGGGTATCTCTTCCTCTGGGTGCTTGGCATACCACGGTCTGTCCTTCCCTCTCACTCTGTCTGATTTCTGCTATTCCTCCATTCCAGACCCCTGGCCATCAACCTGACCAACTGCAAATATGAGAGTGGTAAGCACTGGGTTGGTCACTCACACCATTGTATACAGTCAGGCCCCCGACCCCTGGGTCTTGCCCAGCTGGCCTAGAACCAATGTTAAGGTTCCTAGGTGTCTCCTGGCTCAGCTACTGGCAGCTGACATATGGCTGCTTCAATGGTAGAAGGGTATCTCCACAGTTACCTAGCTAGAAAAAAGAAATGGCAGAGTCACTGCCCCAGCTTTCCAGATTTTAGCAAAGATGGCACAAGGTTAAAAGAGGTTTTTTTCAGGATTGGATCTGAGAAACGACAGTAGCTCCGTGGTAGAGCGCTTGCCTTGCATGCAAAAGACCTCAGGTTTGCTCCCCAGCACTGCAAAAAACAAAAAATAAGAAGCCACCTTTCTTTCTTATCCACTTTCAAAGGATGCTTTGAAGGAGCTCCAGCAATTAAAAAAAAAAAATCCCCAGCTAAGTCAGGCTTGTCCTCCTCTCTCTTTCCCTCATTGACATCTGCAGAGGGGGGGCATCCAGTGTTAGGTTCCAGAGTAATCCCTGCCTCTAGGGTCAGCTCTACAGGCCAGAACAGCCCTCCTTGGGAGACAGGACTGAAAGGAGCAGAAGGCCAGGCTTTTGTTTTCTCTACCACATATTTTGGAAGGGCCTGACAGCCTCATGAACTTGAAGTTAATGCAATAACTCAGTTGCAGAGCTGAGGTTAAGAACTACCTCCCTCAGTGATGGAGTGGCTCGAATGGTAGAGCACCTGCCTAGCAAGCTTGAAGCCCTGAGTACCACCGGAAAAAAAAAAAACAAAAAACCTGCCCTCTGGTCAGGTCTCTTCCTTCCCCGTCCCAGCTAGAGTTCCAGGACTCTTTGCCGGTACCCAGGCTGGCAGTGCTGACTTCATGTCTCTGCAGTGCGACGGGCAGCCCAGATGTGTGGCCTGAAGGAGGTAGGGGAGGATGAAGAGTGGACTGTGTACTGGACAGACTGCTCTGTCTCACTGGAACGAGTCATGGACATGAAGAGGTTTCAGGTACCAATGTCCTAACCTAAAATCCAAAGTGACCACTCTCACTCCCTCTGGCCTGACCCCCAAGACCACTAGTTTTTGCGGCTATACCCTGTGTAGGGCCTACTGCTCCAGAGGAAATATTGTCTCTGGGCCCTCTGGAGCTCCGTTATCTGAAGGAAGTGTCCAGTGGGCACATCGTATCACATTATGTGCTTTGCCTGGTGGGATCTTCACTAATCTGCCTCTTCCAGGGCAGGTTGAGCCCATCTCGGACAGAACCAGGAGGCAACTTCAGAGCTAATGGCAGAGGGCTGGGGATATGACTCGATAGAGGAACTCTTGCTCTAGGCCCTGGGTTTGATCCCTAGCATCTTGAAAAAAGGAAAAAACAAACAAAAATCCAGCAGGGTCAGTTGAACAATCCAGCCACCTAAACAGCTTAATTTAGCAACCCACATCTGTTAAGAGACAGTGTGGGAGCCAGATGCTAGTGACTCATGGCTATAATTCTAGCTACTTGGGAGGTTGAGATTGGGAGGATCAAGGTTCAAGGACAAATAGTTTGCAAGACCCAGCTCCAAAATAACCAGAGCAAAATGGACTGTAGGTATGGGTCAAGTGGTAGAGCACCTGCTTTGCAAGAGACAGAGAGAGAAAGTTCCAGGCCCTTGATTCAAGTGCCAGGCCCTAGTACTGCCAAAAGAAAAAAAGGGGGGGAGGGCACACAAGGGACTGTTGTCAGATGGGGGTGACAGTAATTAATAGCTCTTTCGGAAGGCTTCTGTGTGTTCGTTAGGCACTGTTACATGCTTTTATGTTGTTACTTCATTAAGTCTTTTATAACATTTCTGAGCCACAGACGTCACTTGATTAAAAAGAGGACACTGAGGCTCAGAAATACTATATTCACATAGCTAGTGACTGAGAAAGCCAGTGAGAACGCACTTAGCTATCACCTAACGTGCCTCCCAACCCTCAGGACAGAAAAGCCAGGGGCTCCCAGCAGGCACCAGGACAATGCCAAGAGGTCCCCGGGTGCCAAGATGGCATTATTCTGTAGCTGGTTCTTTGTGTTCTTTTCTCCTGTGCGTCTTCTGGGAAACAGTTTCTTATTATTTCTTTGTGTTGTCATGCATTATTATTCTCATAGAATGTGAGAAGGTGGCCAGAAGACCCAAAGTCCTGGCTAGTGTCCACTGTCTAGCTGTCCTTCCTAACCTCAGCATGCATGTGTGTTGGGTGGAAGCCCAGGAGGGGTTTTACCCTGGTGGTACTAGTTACCATGCACACCTCCACTGTGGCTGCTCCCTTACCTTCCCTGTCCTCTTCCTCTGCTTCTGGGGATGCCCAGGGTACTGCCACTGTCCAGGGTAGTGTGACAATTGGCTGTGTTTCAGAAAATCAACCACTTCCCCGGCATGACAGAGATCTGCCGTAAGGATCTGCTGGCTCGGAACCTCAACCGCATGCAGAAACTCTATCCCACTGAGTACAACATCTTCCCCCGCACCTGGTGCCTCCCTGCAGAGTGAGTGAGCCTGGCTTCCCTGCTGAGCTCCCGGGGGTGGGAAAGGAGTCACCCTCTGAGTTCCCTCCAGACTCTGGTCTTGTGACCTAGGCATGTCTCAGAGGGATGGAAGTGGATCAAGAAAGTTTCAGCTGGCCAAAGAAAAGTGGGTCTGAGGCTGAGTGCTCCAGGAAGAGCATGGACTAGATAGCAGGAAGATCGCCACGGGGCCCCAGGACAGCCACGATGCACAGAAACCTTCTGACCAGCCCCTCTCTGCACATAGCTATGGGGACTTCCAGGCCTATGGTCGTCAGCGAAAAACCCGCACTTACATCTGCAAGCCAGACACTGGCTGTCAGGGACGAGGCATCTTCATCACCCGAACGCCCCGGGAGATCAAGCCAGGAGAGCATATGATCTGCCAGCAGTACATCTCCAAGGTGAAGGATGCCGCGGGACTGCCCGGCCCTTCCCGGTAAAGCCAGAGAGGAAGCCAGTTTTAGGCGCCTACCCTTTCTGCTATCCCCAATGTATTAGAGGGAGAATGGAGTCCTGATTCAGGAGCCTGCCTGGGTTTGAACCTCGGCTCTTCCACTTCCTAGATAGGTGACCTTGGGCAGGTTTCGTACCCTTCCTTAGCCGCCATTTCTTCCTTGCTAAAGGGCAGTAATGACAGTAACTACTTTGTATGGTTGCTGTGAGGAAGCAGTGTGGGGCACAGAGTAAACACTGCCGAGCTGATGATTATCCCCTCCGGGTTTGCACGCTCTCAGCCCTTCCTCATCAATGGCTACAAGTTTGACATGCGGATCTATGTCCTCATCACGTCCTGTGACCCTCTCCGAATCTTCATGTATGAGGAGGGCCTGGCCCGCTTCGCCACCATGCCCTACGTGGAGCCCAGCCATAACAACCTGGTGAGGGGGAGGTGGAAGGGGAGGGGACACCCTCTTCTCTTCCACTGCCATGCACGCTCAGATTCTAGGGAGGTGAAGTGGTTTGTCATTGTTGCTCAAGACCAAGGAACAGAGCTGGCAAAGTGGCTCAAGTGGTAGAGCTCCAGCCTAGCAAGCGTGAGGCCCTCAGTTCAAACCTCAGTGCTACCCAAAGAAAAAAAGACCAAGGAAGGAAGCCAGTGAGAGCCACCTGGCTGTGGGGAGAGTATTTGACGGGTGGTGACAGAGAAAAGCTCATCGCCAGAGGTGCCAGGCACACCTTCTGCCCCAGAATCTTATAGAAGGAGGGTCCCCTGGTGAAGAGGGCCAGGAGACAAGCCACCCTGAGGTGGAGGAGGGCTTCCAGGAGCAGTCTGAGGCCACAGGGCTGCTCCCTTCACAGGAGGATGTCTGCATGCACCTGACCAACTATGCTATCAACAAACACAATGAGAATTTTGTCCGGGATGATGCTGTGGGCAGTAAGAGGTACTCCTTACTCTGTTTCCCCTTGTTTCCTCTGCCCCTTAGCCCCACAGCCTCAGGATCCCACATGACCCAGATGGCTCTTGGGAGGCTGATTAGCTAGGAATCCCTGCCTTTATAGACCCTGGTCGGGTGCCGACTCCAATAACTGATAACCCTACTAAGGAATCCCTGCCCCCAGCTGCTAGCAGCCTTTCAAACCACAGGGGCCCTTGCACAGAATTAGAGTTAACATCAGGGAGCCTCCTGCCTGCAGCCAGGCCCTGCTGGCATAGGAATTGGTCTTCCTCTGAGCACTGGGCCTCACAGGAAGCTGTCGACACTCAACGCCTGGCTGCGAGAGCACAGCTGTGACCCCCGAGAGCTGTGGGGGAACATTGCGGACATCATCATCAAAACTGTCATCTCAGCCCACCCTGTCCTCCGCCACAACTACCGAACCTGTTTTCCCCAATATCTGAGTGGAGGTACCTGTGCCTGTTTTGAGATCCTTGGTTTTGACGTCTTGCTGGACCACAAGCTGAAGCCCTGGTTGCTGGAGGTGAGATTTTCCCGTGGACGGAGTTCCAGAGGCCTCCCTGAACAAGACAGCTGGGATAAGAGTGCACTCAGGTGGGGGAAGAGAGAACAGGATATGGAAGCCCCAGTGTGGCTGGGAACCAGAGAAGGCATAAGACCTCTGCCCTTGTGACCTGCCGAGGGAAACCGTGTGGTCTCGGACCTCTACTTTAGCAATCCAGGGCTGGGATCCCCAGTGCTTCTAGTGTAAGCTTTGCTTTTGAGGACGCCATATCTGCAGAGCCAGGCTGTCTGGCTTTCTCTCAGGAGCCTGTGAATTGGACAGATCACTTCCAAGTCCTGTGGCCTTGGAAACCAGTGAATCCTGACTCCTTGGCTGAGGCCACAGGAGGGAGTGTTTCTCCCCAACCTTCTAGTTAGGCCTGTAAGAGCCCACCATCTGCTCAGGTGGTCTAGGAAGGACGGAAATAGTGACTCCTTTTGGCAGGTAAATCACTCTCCAAGCTTCACCACGGATTCCAGCCTTGATCGAGAGGTGAAGGATGCACTTCTCTGTGATGCCATGACTCTTGTTAACCTCCGGGGCTGTGACAAACGGAAGGTGATGGAGGAGGACAAGCGGCGAGTCAAAGAGAGACTGTTCCAGTGCCACCAACAGCCACGAGAGTCCAGGTGCTCCAGGTGTCTGATATGTTTAGTTGCAAACCTGTGTTTGTTATTACTTTCCTGGGATTCCCTCAGGAAGACCAGGGATGGGGGAAAGAGGAGGAAGGCTGACTAGCTATTAAAAACATTTTTTGCATAGCTAATACATTGCGTATCATAGACAATACATTCAAAATTCAAATGATATGGTAAAGTCTTTCTCCACCTTTCCCCTACAGCTACCCATTTTTTTCCCCTGGAATCAATCAACATTCTTAGTGTAATGTTTATACTTGCACAAGCATTTAAAGAACAAATATAAATGTATTTATACAAAATATTGTGTCCTGTGTCTGACCAGAGAGTTGCATAACTTTCCATACTCCCTGCACCTACTGCACAACAATTTAGTTTAGAGCTATTTTTATCTGAGCACACTAGCTTTGCGTAGCTAGGTATGATGGTTCATGCCTATAATCCCAGCACTCAGGAGGTTTAGGCAGGAGACCCTACCTCAAAAAGAAACAAAGGAATATAGGCAGTCATTTAAAAATATTGTTATATGACCCCATTATCAAAAAAAGAAAGAGGGAGGGGAGGGAAAGAGGGAAGAAGGGAACAAAGGTGGGAAAGAAGGGAGAAAGAATAGAAAGGATGTAGGTAAGCTAGTGAGTGACAAGGCTAGGATTCAAACTCAGGAAGTCCTGTCCTAGAGGTCTTCTCTGTTAATTGCATAGTAAGTATATTGGAGGTTTTGGGTTTTTCTCCTTCGTTTTCAAATTAATTTTTTTTTCCCATAAGAGGGATCCAACTCAGGGCCTTGACATGCTAGCTGAGTGGTCTACCACGGAGTTACATCCCCAACCCTTGATTTTTTTTCTAACTAGAGAGTCGGGGGATGTTTTGGTGGGGCTGGGGTTTGGGCTTCATGCTTGCAAAGCATGAAGATTGGGGGGGGTCTCATGAATTATTTGCTAGGCTGACCTTGAACCGTGATCCTTCTGATCTTACCCTCCCAAGTAGCTGGGATTATAGGCGCTAGCCACTGTTCCCCAGCCAAGCCTTTGATTTTTGTTTAAGACTGACTATGAAGCTCAGGCTGGTCTGGAATTCGCATTGTAGTCCTGACTGATCTTGAACTGGAAATCCTCCTGTCTCAGCTTCCTGAGTGCTGGGATTACAGGCACACACTACCACACCCAGTTTAATCTTCTTTTTGCTCTTCTAAATTTTCTGTAGTGAACATGCATTACTTTTATAATTAGAAACCTAAAAGATTGTGATAACTTGGAGTGCTGGCTTACAAGTGGACCCCTCTGCACTTAGAATGAGAATCAGATTTCTGGAAGCCAAGTCTTTAGGAATAGCTATACACAGGGTGTGGCTGGCCTAACATGGGCTTGGAAGCTTCCCCATGAAGGCCCTGTAGGAGGTTCTGAAGGCCTATCCAGCCTTCCATTCTCTTCTAAACATTCTCACTGCCACCCTCTGACTCCCTGGAGCTTGGTTTCCACAGGCGAGAGCAGATTGAGTCATCCCAGGCGGCCATGCTGGACCAGGAACGATATGAGGATTCCCACTTGGGGGGATACCGGAGGATCTACCCTGGGCCTGACTCAGACAAGTATGCACCCTTCTTCAAGTACAATGGCTCCCTCTTCCAGGAGACTGCTGCCTCCAAGGCCAGAGAGGAATGTGCCAGGTACCTTGTCCTGCATCTTCCTCTGTGCTGGAGGGTGGGGGTCAATCATGAAACTGCATTGCTCCCCAGCAGGGGAGAAGAAGTCAGACACTTGAGGAAGGAGGAATGGAGCTAGAATTCTATCCTTCCAGTATGTTTCCAGTCTTTCAGTCTTCTCCCGTCAGTCCCAAGACCAGATTTCCTGGGGTTTTTTTGTGTGTGTATGTGAGACTGGGGTTTGAACTCAGAGCTTTATGCTTGCAAACAATGTACTCTACTGCTTGAGCCACATCTCCAGTCCATTTTGCTCTGGTTATTTGAGATGGGGTCTCAAAAACTGTTTGCCAGGGCTGACCTTGAACAGTGATCCTCCCAGTCTCAGCCTCCTGAGTAGCTAGGATTACAGGAACAGGCCATCGGCACCCAGCTGATTTTTTTGTTCTTTGCCCACTCTCATTTCCTTCCCCACACCTTCTCCCCAACACAATATCTCCAGTGTCTGAAGCCGCCCTGTCTTGTCAGGCAGCAACTGGAAGAGATTCGCCTAAAGCACGAACAGCAGGAGAACTCAAGCACCAAGAAGAAAAAGGAAAACAAGGACCAGAACCAGGGTGAATCAGTTGGGGAGAAGAGCCGATCCAGGGCAGGGCCCCGGGGCCTTTCCACCCACTTGGCTTACAGGAACCGGCGGGAAAAAGAGGTGTCAGGGGTTTTGTGGCTCTTATCTTTCTGCAGGCAAATGGGTTGGGACTACTAGAGAAGGGGATCTCTGCTGTCCTCTCCTCCCCTTGCCTGAGAGAGATGAGTTCCTAATCAGTAAATTGAGTCTGACCTTTTGGATCAGGAGGTGAGAGAATGGACAGCAAAGGGAACCTTACAGTGGGTAGGGGAAGGAAGATGTAGAGTGGGCAGGGGTCCTGCAGCCATCCTTGCTGATGGTTTGGGACTCATCTTTGGAAGTCCTGCATTTATCTCTCATGTACCTTGTAGCAGCAGCTACCAGTACTCCTGGACACCATGCAGCCTCAAGAAATTGTGGAAGAGGAGGAGCTTGAGCGGATGAAGGCCTTGATACAAAGGGAGAATCTCATCCGAAGCCTCGGTATTGTAGAGCAGCTCACCCGTATGCTGCACCCCAACCACCGGGGCCAGAGAAAACTTCATGAGTATCGGGTGAGGGTCCCTACGAAGCCTCCCACAAAGCAAGGGAACAAGGGCTGTGATGCCAGCACGTGGTGGTGGGTACACCAGAGGAGGTTTATGTGATAGCATGTGTTCATGAAGCCCGGAATGCTGAGCACGCTGGGCCTTGGGAGAGGGTCTGTTGGTTCCTTTTGCATCCGTTCGTTCCCAAGCTCTGTTGTTTTTGGTATTGACATCCAGCAAGGTGCAGCTCCCAACTTTGTCGATCACAAGAGACTTGCTCTCTCTAATCCTGTCTCACAGTAACCCAAAACTCATGACTGACAAATAACAAGGCTGACCATGCTCAGTGGCTTCTGTGTAATCGGCTCCCTAGCACCGCCAGTGCCCTGGCTCTAATGGGAGATAAGTAAACAGTCTTGGGCCAAACCTGTTGGGTTTGTTTTTGTTGAACCCCAAAGGAGAAGCCGGTTAAATAGTGCTACGGCCTAGAAGAGATTTTTCAGTTGCATTTTTCTTCCAACACACCATCCAGCCTCACAAGAAATGTGGTAAGGGGCTGCTCTTCTCCTCTAGCCTAGATTTCACCAAGACGGGCTGGGTAGTCAAGAACTACAAGCTGTGAATCTGGTCCCATTGGTGCTTCTGAGAGGGGCCGCCTCAGAGCAGGGCCCTCCTCATTTCCTGCAACCACTTCGGGCCCATGAATTGATCCCCACGATCTTAGGGCCACTGCCAAGCATGAATGCTGCAATTGCACATCATTCCCAGCGTCATCTGAAGCCCAAGAACTTCAACTGGACAGAGGATCCAGCCACTGGCTCCTGTTCACTGTCAATGAAGAAATCTGGGAGGCACTATTTTTCCAGTGCTAGAGTCAGGCTCACTAGCCGTAAGTATACCAAACTAGCTTGGGTAGCTTTGAACTGTGCAGATTCCCAGTAGCAAATGTTACAGTTGGGCTACTCCCCAAGTATAATGTGGCACTTGTAGCAGTGTAGGAATGGGGGGTGTAGTGGACTGGCTTAAATACCTCCGTCTATGTGCTGACCCTGATGATAGCAATGGCAGAAATACAGTCTCAGCCTTCAAGCAAGGCAACAGGGAAGTGGACAGATAAACAGTCCCATTATAACAGAGGGTGGCAGAGATGCTGGGGGGAGCATGGGAGGCCCACGGTTGAAGGAGGTGAACCTATGTCTCCTGTGAGTACCAATTTAGAGGGATCCATGTTTCCACTGCAGAAGGCCAAGCCAGCAGAAGGCTAGAAGCTATGAACCGAGCCCTGGCAGGATCAGTGCCACCCAGTTTAACCCCATATTAAGGCCATTATCTGCTGCGGGAAAAAGAGGACAGTGACTCATGGACTGAAGGTGCCTTGCCTTCCGTGGTAAGCTCTGAACACAGAGCAGTCAAGTCCAGGGATCTCACCCTCTGCCCCGCCTCTGCACCCATACTGCACAGGCCCAGCACACTCCTCAATGTCAGCCAGCACAGGTAAATGCAGGAGGGAAGCCCAGCGCTCAAACTCCTGGAGAACCCCCTCAGGTTTCCAAAGGAGCCGGTGGCCTTCTTCGCTAAATGAAAGACTGCCACCCAGCTTGAAAGTTCTGGCCAGGAACCCTGTTTGCAAAAGGCAAAACACAAAGACACCGAGAATTCTTCAACACCCTGATTCTTTGGGGACCGGTGAAGATCGAAAGATGAAGCGCCAAGGCCGGCATGCACTCATCTCCGCTCCTCGAGCCTTAGCCTGGATTTATCGATAGGGGATGGGTCTGAACCCTGGGTGCGGCCCGGGGCTGGAGGTCACCGGCGACAAGGAGTCGCGTTCCTAGTGGAACCCAGTGCCCGAGGCACGGTGTTGTCGCCGTCAGAAGACTGCCAGGGTTCGCCCTTCCTGCCACGGTAGCGGAGACAGGCAGGCCAGGGCGGCCTGGGACGGAGGGGCGGTTCTTGGCAATTAACCCGTCTTTATATTAAAGTTTATGTCGTTTTCCAGGCGCGTCCTGTACGTCATTTAGACCCTGGCGTTCGAGGCGAGCCCGCCGCAGCGTCGCAACACGGGAGGGCGGGCCATTGCGCAGCTGGAGGAAGGGACGCCCCGCCCACCGGATAAGCGGGAGACCCCCCCCCCACGCCCAGCTTCCGGCCCATCGCTTCCCTTCCGGCCACACCCTACTTCCGACACCGCCCTCCTACTTCCGGTGCTGCTGTGTCGCGGGCTGCAGAAGGCGGGTGTGCGTCGCCATGGCCGTGGCTCTGAGCTTCCTGCTGGGCGGCTGTGTCCGCGCCGCTGTCGCTCGCTGCGGCTTCGCGACCCAGGGGGTGGCGGGCCCAGGTCCTGTCGGCCGCGAGCCGGACCCCGATTCCGACTGGGAGCCGGAGGAGCGGGAGCTGCAGGAGGTGGAGAGGTACCGGCTCCTTCCCGGGCCCTCAGCCTGAAGCGTGGCCTCGAGCCCCGGCGCCCCAGGCCGCGCCCCTTTGGCGCCGGGCGTGGTCGGCAGCGGCCCTGGTTTGTTGGCGCCGGCTGTCCGGACGCAGGGGCACGCGTTGCGTTCCCTGGCACCGCAGGCCCCTCGCCATAGTGACGTTCTTCATCACCCGTGTAGAGGCCGGCGTGCTTGCGGGCAGTTGTTGTTTAGGTGTTAGGTTTGCGGGGCGGTGTGCCGAGCGGCCACAGCGGGCACACGGGGCCCGAGACGCTTGAGACGCACGTCTTGCTTCCACGCATGGCTTTGCCCTTGGTTCTCTCCCCCCAGTACCCTGAAACGACAGAGAAAAGCAATCCGGTTCCAGAAAATTCGGAGGCAAATGGAGGCGCCCGGTGCCCCGCCCAGAACCCTGACGCGGGAGGCCATGGAGCAGATCCGGTAAGGTCCGCCTTCGCGTCCCCTGAGTGTTGGGAGCGAACCTCCTCGACCTGTCGCGGGTTAGGTTTCCGGTTCTGCGCTGCCGGGGAGCAACCCAGCCTGGATTTAACGGTTGTGTTTTGCTTTGGTGGTGCTGGGGTTCGAACGGGGCCTTGCGCTGATTTGAGCTACGCCCCTCCCGGGTTTTAGAGCCGTGATGTTACGGCAGTTGCTTCGGCTTTTTGATTGCTTGTTTCAGCGAAGCGTCCATACTAAAAGGTGGCTCGTTTTTGCTAAAAATTTTAAATAGCAAATTGTGGACGTCACAATTTGACTTCTGAAATAGTAGATCATGACTTTCCCGCCTAAACGTTCACAAATGGGGTTTCTATTGTTACGTGCATTTTCCTGAAGGATCCATAACTTAGAAAATCTTGAGATTTTTTTTACATATTAACAATTTTAGTATTTTAGTTTTTCTTTTTTCTGCTTTTTTTTTTTTTTTTTTTTGAGATAGGACCCCAATTTGCAACTTGTAGGTCAGACTGGCCTGGAATTCGAAGTCCTCCTGCCCTAGCCTCCCTGTTGCTGGGATTACAGGCATGTACCACCACAACCCACTTGTTTTTTCTAAGTTTTTTGTTTTTAATAGGCCATGTAATACATGGGCTCAAAATGAACTACCGTGGTGTACACATGATTCACTCCTCCCAGTCTTCCATACTCTCTTCCCCATGTTCTGACCACCTACCTAGGGAGTGTGAGGACCTGCCCGGTACTGTCTGTTCAGACTGCCTGGATTCCTGTAATGGCCTCGTGCCGATTTTACACTTAGAGTGGGGTTTTTTCTTTGTTTTTTTTGTTTTTGTCTTGGTGCAGGGCTCTGATGCATACCAGAGAAGCACTGTACCTCTGCTACACCCTCAGCCTCTCTATCTACTCTTTTGCCACTATAACAAGGTTGAACTTCAGAACGAAAATGTACCCATTGCATTCCAGTGCTTAAAATCATTCTTGGCTTGCTGTTGCCTCAGGCTAACTCCTAAGCATGACAAGACCTTGCTCCCTACCCTCACTGTCAGTTGAAGTAGTCCAGCAAAGCGGAGGAAAACTTTGCCTTTTATATGTTGCTCACTGTACTGTCAGTATCTTCCATCTCCTCTGTCTCCTTTGTTAGCTTCAAGTGTTGTGTCCGTGGGTCTCCCTCTCTGGTGCTCCTGTGCTGTAACACTGTGTTACTGCCTGGTACTTTTGTGCACCCCAGGCTGTGTGCTCTTGGAAGCAAAGGTCAGTCCTGGATTTGCTCTAGTGTGGGTATTAGACAGCACTGGGAGGCATTTGGTTGATGTGTAGTGAAGTGACCTGAGGGTGGTTAGGTGTTGGTGTTGGCACACCGGAATGAAACAGACACCATATAAGGACTGCATTTGCAGTTTTTCCAAGCCCTCCTTTTTATTTGTGTGGTATTAGTTAACTGCTTGAGGAGGAGACTTCTTAATAACTGCTCCTTTTTCCTATAGGTATTTACATAAGGAATTTGCAGAGTCCTGGTCAGTTCCCAGGTTGGCAGAAGGTTTTGATGTCAGCACTGATGTTATCCGAAGGGTTTTGAAAAGTAAATTTGTACCCACTCTGGAGCAGAAACTGAAGCAGGATCAAAAAGTCCTTAAGAAAACTGGGCTTGCCCACCGGGTCTGGCAGCTCCAGGGTTCTGGAGATAGCCCAAAGCCACTCACTGCAGGCCACTCTGTGTCAGGTTCATTGCTGGTGTCAGGGAATGAAGCTTCATCCAAAAGTCAGAGTCACAGCGCAGCTTTGAAAATGATAGGGTCAAGCCCTCACAGTACAAATACACCAAGGAGACAGAATGGAAGGAATAAAAGAATCCAAGGCCTGGAGGAGAACTTGGCGCCTCTTACTGCAACCTTGGGTCATCAGAGAGAGCTGCACAAATACCCCACCAGTGATTGTGAGAGCACCAGAGGAACTGACAGGGATGGATTACCAAGTGATGAGAAGCTGGAAGAGTTGAAGGCAGGGGAGCCAGGTGACCAGAACTTCAGCAGCAAAGTAGTCCAGCGGGGACGGGAATTCTTTGACAGCAATGGGAACTTCCTGTACAGAATTTGAGCCAAGGCCTGCCTGTGAGGATGCTATGTGAAACAGCTGGCAAATGAATCTGGAGCTGCCAGGCTTCCTGCATGTGATAGGAAGGAATGGTGAGCCCTGCGTGGGCAGAAAGAGCTGCTGATGATTCAAGCTTCCTGGTGCTCTGCTCCTGGTCTGGTCTTTATGACTCGTCAGTACTCATTTACCTTGTTGCTTGGGCTTTCTGCATGTTGAAAACCAATGTTAGATGTGTTAAGAATTTCTGTGATATTTGCGTTAATATGTTTGGGAGGAAATGAAAAGTTTGCCTTCTGACCTCATTTCCTTTTTAATCACTGAACACTAAGAGTTCTGGAACTGCTTAGTCAATTGGTTGTTTTCTTTAAGTGCAGAAATAAAGTAAATGTAGCAGTCTGTTGCTTGGTGTTCTTTTGGGCAGGAGGGTTTACCTGTAAACTTTGGAGAGTGATGGATGAGAAAGGCAGAAGGGGACAGCCCTTGTCATTAACATCAGGGGAGGTGGAACCGAGGAATTCCCAGCAAAGGACTCTGCACAGAGCCCCCTGCTCACTGATGGGTTTGGTAGGGTTCTGAGAGAGATTAGGAGTGGGGGTTTGACAAATAATGGGCAAAGATTTTAGGGTCTCCAGCATAATCTCCAGCTACATTCTAAAACTTAAATTACGCCCGGTTTTACAGTTGACACAAGATTTCTACAAAGGTGTTGCGAGGTAAGTGATAACAGACAAAAGGCCCTTTTACAAATGAAACAGGCCCTGAGGATGGCTGCTAAGTAGCACTGCTGGGATTTGAGCCCAGTGCTCCCTTAACCCAGAGCTTCTGAAGTTATAGGAACACTGCACCGTGTGGCGTGATTTCTGTTAACTTAACCAGTTCTTTTAGAACCAGAAATTCTAGCTATAAGTGGGATGAGAAGCAGTAGTCTAGTGACAGTTTTCAACCATGTCTCACTAGCAATCTGCCAACCAGAACTGTATACTCCCAAATTTAAATATAAAAACAATGACATCCCAGTTAATGTAACTTGTTGAAATCTTGCCATTTTAAGTATCAATAGCAGTTGTGATGTCATTGATGACTGTAAACAAGCATTTGTTCATTGATGTAAAAAACAGTCCTATCTCAATGCCAGTCAAAACTCTAGAATCAAGCTCTGCTCAGTGGCTCATACCTGAAATCATGGCTGTTGGGAGGTGTAAATTGGAAGACTGGGATCCTAAGGCTGGTGCAGCGGTTCAAGTGGTAGGGCTCTTGCCTTTCAATCACAAAGCCTTGAGTTCAAACCCCAGTACTGCCAAAAGAAAAATGCGAGACCCTATTCCAAAAATTAAAGCAAAAAAGGACTAGTGACATGGCTCAAATGGAAGAGCACCTACCTAGCAAATGAGAGGCCCTGAGTTCAAAACCCCAGTACCGCCAGGTGCCAGTGGCTCATAACTTGTAAATCCTAGCTACTTGGGAGGCTGAGATCTGGAGGATTAGGGTTTGAGGCCAGCCCAAGTAAATAGTTCACAAGACCTCCATCTCCAGAATAACCAGAGCAAAGTGGACTATATGTGTGTCTCAAGTGGAAGAGTGCCTACTTTGTGTGAAGTCCTGAGTTCAAACATCAGTCCCTCCAAAAAATAAAAGCTGGGGGGCATAGTTTAGGTGATAAGAGGAGTGCCAGGCTCAGGTTCAATCTGCAGCATTGGAAAAAAAAAAAAAGGCAGCTAGCTCCTTTTTATCCTAACAGTATACTCTTGCTTAATTCCCTCAGTGCCTGAAGTTACTAACATTGTCATCACTCACCGCTTTCGATGTAGACCTCATGAAGACACCTGTGTCCACTATTGTAGTCCCAGCTCCACACATCTCTGGTTGAATGGAGAAATGATAGACTTCTTAACAATCAGCCAATCTGTGGTGGGGGAGCCAGGCCTTTACCTTTGCCAGTTTACCATACAGCTTCAGCCAAGGCTCCTATGCTGCTTCCAATGGGGTACAATTCCAGGACTCCATAGGGTCCTGCTCCCTGGCATTTCACGATACACCACGTGGATGAAGTGGATGTGCGTGTTGGAGCACAGGTGTGGTGTCTGGTGGAGGACGCCACAGGTAATAATGCTTCATCAGGCTGGAGAGAGTGACTGCAGAGGGAGTGGGTAAGTCCCAGTAACTTGGGGCCAAGCTCAGGAGGCTGACAAACCACAACAGAAGGGATCATGATCCTGCACTGTAGAAGGTGACACTTCCCTCAACTGCTTTAACATGCCATGGGAGTGAAGTCCACCACCCCAGAGCACCTCTACCTCCTAGGGAAGCTGAGATTCCATTGAATTAAGGAGATGGCGAGGAGTGGGGAAGGTTACAATATCTTAGATGAACTCCTGAACCCTACTAGGAGTAAAAATTTTTTTTTTTCAGTATTGAGGTTTGAACTCGGGGCCTACACCTTGAGCCACTCCACCACCCCTTTTCTGGGAAGGGTTTTTTCGAAATAGGGTTTCACAAAACATTTGTCTGGGCTGGCTTCAAGCTGTGATCCTCCTGCTCTCTGCCTCCCGAATAGCTAGGATTACAGTCTTGTTTTTTTCTCAAACTTGTGTTACAGAATTTGCTCTGAGTTTTACGGTGAGACCCTGTCTTAAAAAATTTTTTTGAGACGAGTCTCACAGTCTCATTATGTAGCCCAAGCTGGCCTCAAACTCCTGTCTTCAGACTCCCAAGTGCTGGGATTACAGATAGGCACTACCATGCCTGTGTATTGCAGACCCTTTAAAACACACAAAAGGAGAACTTTATAATGCAGCAAACCCCTGTGTATCCATTTCTCCCCCTTTTTTTCTTTTGTGGTGCTGGGGATTGACAGCTCCCTGAAGTCTCTTTTATTCTAAACTAGCTTCCCCTCCCACATTTTACCCCTTGCCCTTTGTTTTTAGAAGTTTGATCATTCATCCCATATAAATTCCTACATTTTGGATATAGTTGATTTGATACCTATGCTATCTTAACCTGTTCTTACTAATTCTACATATTCTATGAACTGGTAGTGGAATTGGTTGATGTGGACAGACGTATTCAGTTGTTTTTATTGTATGAATGTGCCACGGTTTACGTATCCATTTCCCCACAAAAGTCATGACAGTCAACTCAGGGCTGGCGAAGTGGCTCAAGCGGTAAGAGCGCCTGCCTATTAAGCCAGAGGCCTGAAGTTCGACCCTCAATACTCCAAAAGAAAAAAAGTGGGATAAAGACTCAAAACTCTGATATCCGAAGGTCAGAGCTGGCAAGACTTAGCTTTCAGCCGACCGTAATGCGTTCCTCTCCCCTGCACTTCCCGGGTCCCCTCTGTACACTCTCGCCTCCCCCTGGCCTAGTTATTTGGGAAGTAGATTTGATTGACAGGTGAGACTCCAGCGATCAGTGCCCTGCACACTCTTGAGTTGGTTTCGCCCATTTTACGAAGCTCTTGAAAAGCGAGCACGTGACCAGTCCTTAAGTAAGCCGGAATTGGCTGAATCCTTAAAACTGGACATAAAGTATGGCCACTTTATCTTGGGAAGGCTTCCCTCTGGCCAGCAATGACACTAGAAAGCTGCCGGCTCGTTTCCGGTTTTGAAATGTCCCTTTCCGGATGCCGTCCTCTACCCGGAACTCTAAGCGCGGGTCTCACGAACGCGACTTCCGGGAGGTCTGGGAAGTCGGCCGCACTTCTCGCCAGCCGGCCGGAGGCGGGGTTCTCTCCGCACGCCTGCCGCGGAGTCTGTCTGGAGTCCTGCTGACAGGCCGAGTGGGCCGGGGAGGGGTAGGTCGGACACTGTGGCTGCAGGCCTGAGGCGAGGACCCCGCGGCTGCGGCTGTCCCGCCCGGGGAGGGGCCATTCACTCCTCGGGCGCATCTCCGGATACTCTGGGCCTCCGCGCCTCGGCGTGCGGGATAGCGCCCTGCGCCGATCCCCGGGCTGCCGCCGGCCTTTCCCCGGCAGAGGGCTCCCGCTTTTCAACACGGAGGCCCAGGTGACCGCGCCATGGCCTCTCCCCACCGACCCGACGCCCCGGAGCTGCCCGACTTCTCCATGCTCAAGAGGCTGGCCCGAGACCAGCTCATCTACCTGCTGGAGCAGGTCAGCGCTCACGCACGCGCGCCGGGCCCTGGGCGGGGATGGTTGGGGGTCCTCGCTCCAAAACGAGCACTCAGCAAGGAAAACCAGGGGCAGTAAGGGGTGCTGGGGACCTGGCCAGAGAATTCACGGACATCCGTGTTTTTTTCATGCAAAGGAGGGCGGTGCCACTACACTACTAGTGCCCGGCATCCCTGGGGATGGAAAGATAGTTAAGGGTCTTTGTCATTAAGGACCTTACACTCCAGCAGGAGCCACTGTGTGTAATATCCAGCAGATAGAAATGCTCCATCAGGCGGGTTGAGAAGAAGATGGAGACGTGGGCGATCTGGGACTCTGTGCCCCGTGGTACTAGAATAGTGATTTGCAATTAAAAGACACCCAACAACAAATGTCGAAGAATTGAAAAGACACGCTAGATAAAGCCCTCAGTTCAGAGGAGAGCAATATGAAACATGAAAGTGGAGTGTAGATGAGGAAGAGGAACCCACAAGGTGACCCAGTATGGCCAAATTGGATCTCTGGGCAATAATGGCCTGCCCAGCTAACTTCTGATTTACTTCTCGTTAATTGACACTGCTGTGCAAGCTTGATACATCTTAATCACCTTTGGCTGCCCCTCCCCCTCACACTTGACTGGTTGTTGGGTCCTTCTTTACAGTTATCCATGTGGCTTCTTCCTTATACATGACTTTTGAAATAATGATTATAAAATAACACTTGCACATTATGGAAAGTGTAGAAGACTACTTACAGTTCTACCATTAGGTAAAAGCAATATTAACTTACTTTCTTTCAAGTATTTACCCATCTATCCATCTGTTACACAGTCCTTCTTGCTCAGCCTGAAACTGGGCTCTCATTTGGCCACCTGCTGGCTGGTCTGTTGGATTAACTTCATAAACAGACTCCTTACCTCCACTTTCTCTTGTCTCCAGGCCATTTTATCCACAGTTACCAGGTTCATCTAAATAAAATTTCTCTGTGATTGGGACGTGGCTGTTCACAGAAGCTTCCTGGTTTCCCTGTTCCATAAATAATTAAGTCCAAACTCCCTAGCCTGGCATTGAAGCCCTTCACACTCAATTCCAGTTACCTGTGAAGTCTTACTTCCTACCACTTGAACATCAGTGCTTTTCAGCCTTGGTACTAGTGACATTTTTGGGTTGATAATTCTGTGTTGAGGGGCTATCCTGTGCATTTGTAGGATGTTTAGTAGCACCCCTAGCCTCTAACCAGTAGATGCCAGCGACACCTCCTTCTCCCAGTCAGACAACCAAAAATGTGGCTGGACATTGCCACATATCCCTTAGGAGCAGAACTTTCCCCAGTTGAGAACTACTGCCCTTCACGTACCTTATTTATCCGCCCAGCGGAATTCCTTGTTCTGCCCTGACCACTCAGCCTATGCTTTCTCCCTGGTCTTCGCTGGCTTGCCCTCTTAAGATATCACTAGCAACTCCCTCATCATTTGTCAATGCCAAGTTGAGGGGAAACTTCTGATGACTTTCCTCTCTATGTCACCTACTGTGACTCCTTCCTATGAATAAATAAGAGAGCAGCATCAGGGGTGATGGTGCAGGAATCAGATTACAGGGATTGTGGCATTGGTGGTTGGGAAGGTGATAGGGTGAGTACTGTCCTGGATTTTTTTTCCCTTTTCGTTTTTGCAGTGCTGGAGGTTGAACTCAGAGCCTCACGTATGCAAAGCACATGCTCTACCACTGAGCTACCTTGCCAGTCCTGCCCTGGATTTTCTGAGTTCTGTGTTGCACGTGTGTTATTTTGGTAATTTGAAGAAAAATGCCACTTGCAAAAATGTTTAGCAGTTAGTTGGACTTGCAGAGTGCAAGGTGAGGTTCTGTAGTATTTATCCCAATCCAACCAGAGATAGGGGTTGTTGGGAGGCAGAGTGGAGGAGGCAGTGGAGAAAGATGCAGACCAAAGTCTCAGGTAAGCAGGAGGGTTGAGTGACAAGGAATCAACCTGAAAAAGGAGTGGAACACCTTTCCAAAGTAGGTGAATCCACAGAGACCTGTCACATGTGGAGAGAGATAATAAACAAGACTCAAGCTAGATGAAGTCTAGTGCCCTTCCAATTCAGAGGCACTGTTCCTGTTAAATGGGTGGATGGACAGGTTCTCATCTGAGGGAGCTGTGTGATCTACAAGTGACTCAACAGACTGTCTCCTTCAGCTTCCTGGGAAGAAGGATCTGTTCATCGAGGCAGATCTCATGAGCCCTTTGGATAGAATTGCCAGCGTCTCCATCCTGAAGGTACTGCCCCTTCCCAGGGGAGCTCTTGCCCCTCCTTTCCTCTTTAAGCATTACAGATTGATGAGCATTACAGATTTCTGAAGAGTGACTACCCTTCCGGGGTAAAGACAGGGTGGTGCAATTGCAGGGGACATGGGGATTGGTGATGCTGTCTGTGTTGTTTTTCAATTATTTTAGTTTTGGTTTTCCCATTGGTGGTTTGAGGAAAGCTCAGGGCTACTGGTCATGGGAGCAGGTTGATTCCTGGATTAGTATAAATAGGAGGTTCTTAAGAAATTCTGTTTTTGTGTCATGCTTTATGCTTTTCAAGCACTCTTACGTCTGTTGTCTTGTTGAATCTTTCCTGTAGCAACATGAAGTAGACAAGCTGTACAAGGTGGAGAGCAAGCCAGCCCTCAGCTCCAATGAACAGTGAGTGTCTTATCTCCATGCTGGAGTAGATGCCTAGGGGCACATTTGCTGCTGACCTGACCGTGGCCAAGATCTGGCCCATGGTGCCTGTGGTATGGTTCCCCTCTCTGAACTTTCACAGTTTCACGCTTAGATGACGGTTAGCCTCTGAATGAGCCCTCTCTCCCACCCCTGTCCTCCCTCCTCAGTCCATACTACCACCTACAACCAGATTGACTCCTCTTCCAAAAATTACTGTCACCGTGTTTTCATCTGGACCTCCAAGGATGCACTGGTGTCTCAGGCCTGTGATCCTCGCTACTTGGGATGCTGAGATCTGGAGATAGCTGGTTTGAGGCCAGCCTGGGCAAATAGTTTGTGAGACCCTATCTCCAAAACTAACCAGAGCAAAATGAACTTGGAAGTATGGCTCAAGAGGTAGAGCACCCGCTTTGCAAGAGTGAAGCCCTGAATTAAAATCCCAGTCCCACCAACTCAGGGCCTTAAGCTTGCTGGGCAGGCACTGTACCATTTGAGCCACTCCACCAGCCCTGGAAAACATTACCTTCTGTTACTTTCCTTTTTTTTTTTTGTGGTACTGGGGTTTGAACTCAGGGCCCATACCTTGAGCCACTCCATCAGCCCTTTTTTGTGATGGGTTCTCTTTTCCAAGATAGGGTCTTGAGAACTATTTGCTCAGCTGTCTCCTGAGTAGCTGGGATTGCAGGTGTGAGCTTCTGGCACCCAGCTTATTACTTTTCTTGTATTATACTTTTGCTCTTGATTGTTTATACACTCTCTCTACATATATGCAGATTTTTGCCCACTGGAGTGTAAAGTATTTAACAGGAACTCCTGGGTTCACCATGAAGCCACCTCATCATACCACACCTGTTGTGCTGAGAAGTGTCTTTTGTGGTTATGCATTGCTTTGGTTAGGGTGAAATTGCAGGTCTTGTCAAAAAGGGCAAGTGGCTAACAAGTTGGTATTGTTTGAGTTTCTTCTAAGCTGCTGTCACAGACTTCATGATTTTTCCTTCTTTCTTTCTTTCTCTCCCGTAGACTGTGCTTCTTGGTCAGACCCCGAATCAAGAATATGCGCTACATTGCCAGTAAGTGTGCCATGGTGCTATGCATGAGTCCTGGGAAAAGGTGGGCAAGAGAGAAGGGTCTTGGCCATAAAGACCCTTCAATAGGAAAAGACTTGCCAGACACGATATTGTACAGCTGTAATCCCAGCACTTGGGAGGCTGAGGCAGGAGGATTACACATTTGAAGCCAGTGGCATGGGTAGAGGGTGTCTCCTTCCTTGCTTCTAGTCTCACAGATCTCACATGGTTTGCTGGGCTGCATTCCTTCTCTGTAGATCTTGTCAATGCTGACAAATTGGCTGGACGAGCTCGAAAATACAAAGTGATCTTCAGCCCTCAGAAGGTGAGTTTTGTCCTGGTGGAAGTGAGATGTGAGGTCCAGCAGGGTGAGGACAGGGCTGGAGTAAGGGGCCTGTGGCTGTCTCTCCATCAAAGCAAATTATGTATGCTAAGCCAAGAACCACATACCTGCCACTGTCCATACTGTTTTTTTTTTTTTTTTTTTTGGTTTGGGGTGGGGTGGGGGAAGACTGGGGTTTGAACTTAGGGCCCCACTCCTGCAAGACAGGCACTCTTACCACTTGAGCCATGTCCCAACCCTCACAGGTTACTTTAAATGAAAAGCTTTGCACTTTTGAAGAACCTGCTATGTCCCTGCTAACACAAATTCCTGTTAGTGATGGTGCATGATGGTAGGCATCTCTGACTTGCTCTCTGTGTCTCTTTAAATAGATACAATAGATGATAAATCATCTCCCTCTCTCTGAAGTTCCCAAATGCTCATCCAAGGGATGTGGCCGGGCTGCTTCTGAGTTACTAGAACCGTACTACCATATGTTGGAAAAGCCTTTTTTTTTTTTTGGCTGTACTGAGGTTTGAACTCAGTGCTTCTTCACACTTGCTAGATAGGCACTCTACTGCCTTGTGCTTGAGCCATACCTCTAGTCCTCCTTTTGAAAAAATTTAATTGACATGTAATAATTGTACATATTTCTGGAGGGAAAAGCTTTTTCTTGCATAGGGAAGGAACCTTAAAGAACATTTACTCCACCTGACTTGGAGCAGCTGAAGGCCCAAGGCCCCATTCACTCAGTGAGTTAGTGTTAGCCGGGCAGTCTCCTTTACTGTGGGGAATGAAGGCCTGGCTGTTTCTTTTTTTTCCTGTGTTTTTTTTTTTTTAATAGTACTGGGATTTGAACTCAGGGCTTCACCTTGAGCCACTCCACCAGCCCTTTTTTGTGATGGATTTTTTTTGCCGTAGGGTCTGTTAGGAAAAATGCCGCTCACAAAGAAAGCTCACGAGAAAAGTCTCACATCCATAGAGCTAAGTTTAATGGCAGGCTCAAACTGCCAGGCTGGTGGGGGGAGGGGGCGGATGGCAGCAGTGATTCTGGGCCAGGCGTGGCTTTTGTAGAAGGGGGAGATTAAGGAAGTTAGTGCATGCACGGTAGTCTCTAGTAGGGGTGGGGCTGTCTTAGAGCATGGGAATTTCTGTTAAGGGTGGGGCTGTTCTTGAAAGTTTCTCAAGTGAGGTCTGAGGATAAAATGGCCGCCGATTTATAATTGGCGACATTATTGTTCTATCATTCCCCCATTTTTTCTTTAATAATGATGAGGATCAGGAATTGGGGTGAAGCGTCAGTCTCTTAGCTGATTCCTGCTGGCAGGGAGCTCTGTATGGGGCAAGATCCTCAGACTCCTGCATCTTGGTAGGTTGGTATCCCTGGAGGTACAACTGGTTAAACTTTTGATTAGCAATAGCAGACATATAGTGTGATACAAGGGAGGAAGCTTAAGAATAGGACAGCGAGAACACAGGCATCAGGATGGGCATTGGCCAGGAGAACCACTGGGAAATGTTGTTCCTAGACAATTTCAAGAGTCCTCCAACTCCCTTCTCCATTTTCTAATTGTTTCTTGAGAGGTGTAGCCACTGGGTGACCCATTGAGCCTGACAGCAGTGGGTGCCGTGAGAATGACCAGATGAGAGCTGGTCCACCCAAGTCCCAATGGAGAGGGTAGAAGATCCTTTAGGAGAACAAGATCCCCTGGTTTAACAGAAATTGTTATAGGGTGGGCAGGATCTGGTCTGCATGCTCTCTGAGAAGTTCCCTGAGACGGTTAAGGTAAGGCAGGTAGTCAGCCAGAGGAGCAGGGTCTGTTGGAGGCAAGTTTATTAGAAGGAGCATAAAAGGTGTCTGGTAAAGGACTGCATATCTAGGGATCTAAATTCTGCAAAATCCTGTAACTCCCAAGAAAGCTCTAAGCTGCCTTATGGTATGGGGAGAGGGAAACAGAAGATTGGATTGATGCACTCATGACTCAGGGAGTGAGTCTGTCTCTTTAAGGCCACACCTAGGTAGGTGACCTGTGGGAGGCAGGGGCTGTCAGGATTTAAATGTAACACTCTTGGATAAAAGAGAATGAGCTCTAGCTCATTTTTATATAACTTTGTAAATGTTTGTACCATATTTAGATAAAGTATAGACACAATGCTGTTACAAGGTGGTCATTTAAGACACATAAGCAAATATGTAAATGAACTCTGATTTAGTAGTACTTAAAGCTTGACAAGATCAGTAGAAAACACAAATAATATCTTTGATAAAATCTTTCTCTGTAATGGCTTTTTTTTTTGTAGATGTTACTCAGAGCAGAACAATATTAAGATAACTGTGTTATTTTATAGATATAGAGAATTTGATTTTAGTTTGACATGACCCTAAAAATCTTTTAGGCGAGTCTTAGATTATATTCAACTTTAATTTTATCACACACCGAAGCTTTTTATTATACACTTTTAAAACTTACTCAGACCTTTATATAACATACTAAACCCTATGATGGCTTGTCCAAATCCCTCCTATTTCAAACAATCTTTAGGACAAACCCTTCTTTACAAAATCCTTTCTCATCCAAAAACATTCCTTTTTCCTTTAACTTCTCAAAAATATTCACTACCTATCTATATCCTTTCCAGGTATTTACTTTGTAACTTGTATTTTAAAATTAACTTTTATAAGAATTTTAAATTTATTATATGGGCTGGACCAACTAACTAGTAGCCCTTGTTGTTTTAAGGAATTTATGATAGGCATAAGGCCTCATGTCCCTCAGGCTTGAGGGGATATTGTTTTGGGTGTGGAAACTGTGAGGGATTTTTGAGTTTTATTTGAATAGGGAGGGCCGTCCAGGCTCGCCCTACAGTCATCCCATCAGTCCACAAAGAGATTGTGGAATCTCTTTGTTCCTAAAGGATGGGGCAGCAGAGATAGCTGTCTGGGGGGAAGAGAATTTGAGCTTTTAGTTGAGATAGTAAATCCCGTCCTAGCAGAGTCACTGGAGTTTTAGAAACTATGAGGAAAGAGTGACAGAAGAGGAGGGCTCCCCAAGAGCAGGCCAGAGGCCAGGTAAACTAGCGCTCTAGGGGCTGGCCAGATTTGCCCCGAACGATAACTTTGTCATTGGACTGGGGACCAGGAGAGAAAGGTAAGACAGAGAAATGAGCTCCACTGTCTAGCCAGAAAATGATCTTTTGTTTTTCTGCCATAATGGCTACCATGAGGCTCCTCAACATCGATGCCAAGAAGTGGAGTGTGGACAGGAGGCCAGGACCCATCAATCCATAGGAGGTGGCACCTCGTCTTCCATCTGGAGACGGGGGCACTTAGACCTCCAGTGGTTACCTTTGCAGAGAGGGCAGGGTCCCAGTTAGGGGTGGGGTTGTCTCCCGGGCTGTCCCCCTTCTGGGCATTCTCTGCAGAAGTGCCCCTCCTGTCCACCATGGTAGCAAACTCGAGATGTAGGCCCTAGTCGGGTGGGGCAGTCAATAAATCTCTGTTAGTAATGTCCCGGTTATGATATACAGACATGGCTAGTTGTATTAGTTGATCCATTGACTTTTCTCCTTCAGCCACAGACTTGAGTTTTCTACAAATATCTGGGGCTGACTGTTAGAAATTTATCTTTGAGGAGAACCTCTCCCACCTGTGACTCTGGGTCCACCATGGTATGCTTTCTGATAGCATCCTTAAGATGCCATAGAAAGGTAGGGGGATTTTCTTCAGGGTGTTGCTGTAAAGCAAAGTTGTTATTTTACGTTGGCACCTGACACTCTGGAGAGCAGGTCTCTGAACCGCCCTGGGCCTCAGTTTCCTCATTTGAAAAATGAGGGATCTGGTCTAGGTTAAACTACTGTCTTCCACTATGAGTTGGCTGAAGTGACATTAACGCCACTTATCTTCCTTACCATTTTTTTTTTTTTTTGATTTAGCAATGTTGGGGAATTGAACCCAGGGCTTTGCACATGCTGGACAGATGTTCTCCCACTGAGCTACTTTCTCAGCCCCAAATATCTTTTTTGTCTTTGTACTGGATTTGAACTCAGGGCTTTATGCCTGCAAAGTGGCACTCTACTGCTTGAGCCATATCATCAGCCCCTTTTAGTGTGGACCTGTCAAGGGGACTGTCTGTGCCCCTGTAGGTAGGCACATTTATTCCCTCATTTCCAGGTGCCACTAGTATTGGGGCTTATTGTACTTTATTTATTTTTTGGTCTTTTCTTTTTTGTGCTGGGATCGAACCCAGGGCCTCGTGCATGCTAGACAAGGACTCTACCACTGAGCTACATCCCAGTGGGGCTCATTGTAAATGGTAATCATTTCCAACCTGAGTAGTCTGGGCCAGAAACCATTGCATTTCTAATGAGGAAAGAGTCTGGTCTAGTAGAAGCATAATATCCTTCCATGTCAGTTGAAGGTTTGGATCAGAGAGATAAAGGCTTGAATGTATTTGGGCATCAGTACAGCTGTCCAGATATTTTTAAATTTCCCTTAGATCTGATAACTGGAAGGGGACGTAGACTTGCCCTCTTCCTACCATTATCTGTTGAAGGGGAAGCACCCATTAGGAGGTTCTGAATATTGGGGTGGCTTAGAAGGTAGGGCAGAGGGTGGAGCAGTAGGGGTGGGCCTTGTCATTGATGAGGGGCTTTTCTGGTCCTCCTTTCCATGTTTATTTTGTGGCTTACAAAGAATGGCCAGTGTTTGAGTATCTAAATAGCAATTGTGGAGCCAATCTGAGATGAAAGAAAATTTGTATAGGGGACCTCAGTTTACTTTTTTCCCTTTTATATGAAAGGTCTAATTGAAGTATGGTATTGTAATTTAAGGAACCCTGTGAAAGCCACTTCTCTTGGTCACCCAAGGCATACTGAGGCCAGGCCTTAGTACAAAGCTTCTAACATCTACAAGCCAGAAGACTGGAAGGTGCAGATCCCATCTAGAAAGAACAAAATGTTAGGATCCTGTCTTTTAGCTAACAGCAGGCAGCCTCTTTAATAAA